AAATAGGCAGAAAGCCAATTTACAGAATTTTCTATGACCTCTTTTCCATCATAATGTTGATATATCCTCTACATTAGGGTCAATATGGTAATTTATAGATAGGATTATGTACACAGATTTTCGCAAAGGTCATGTTTCCAGTAACTATCTATTTCTTCAGTTGATGCCAAATGTTGTCATCTAATTTGTTGTAAGGTCATGTTATACTTACATTATGGTCGTTCACAAGCTAGCTTGTCAGCTTGATGATGAAGATAACGATCTTCGTGTATGAACTTGGATGTTGAGCAAGATTTACCAAAATTTCCATTAGAGTCAACAGTGGAAAAAAACAATGTACTGGGGAAAACACTAGTACACAATATTATATCGCAAAATAATAACATTAAATAATACACAACTGACTGAATCTGATGTAGTGTATAACATGTACATTGCAAATTTAAACTGCATATTTCTGAGTAAATAACAAAATAATCTTAAAAACCATTTCATTAAAATCTTTGAAATCTAAATCTTAAAGAATAGTGTTGCTGTTGTAGAAAGAATTTTCACTCTTTCTATACAAAAAGATATATATATATATAATATATTTCCGCATAATAAAATTAAGCAGCCTCATTCTGAAAAAGCGATTATTTCTTTTACTTTTAACCCTTCTGCTTTTTACACGGAACCAAATCTCTAATAATAGTCAACTTTTAATACAAATTAAACCACTATATCGCCAATACATTTCTTTTGTAACCGAGTATATTATAAAAGTTAATGACTGCGGCCGTAGGAAAATTATGATGTAATTTGTAATGTCCTAAAAACAGCATTAAATCTAATTAAATTAAAATTTGAAATTAAGGTGAAACATTATGATGAGGTCACTGTGCACAACATTACAAAATATTAATTCTTTATTACAGACTAAAACTTTTTATTACAGTCTAAAATATCAGTAAAATAAAATGTTTACATGAAATATCACTTAGGCTGATTTAGTTCTACAAGAGTATGTAACTTTACTTCTAGTTATTAAATGAGTTGTTAATGCGTCAGAGGTAAATCAGGTCAAAATACCCGCGCTTAGATCTGACCGTGACCAAACACGAGGTAATTTCTGTTGAGCTTTCACACAACCAATCATCAACGAACTTCCATAATTTTGAAAGTGATATGGTTTCTTATTTTAATCCTGGGGAAACCAATACTGAGTAGGTAATTCTTATGATTTCGAGAACAAACATGGCTTTGAGCATACAGCCGACAGGTAAACTCGCAAAACAATCTTGCCCATTAAAAAATGACTCTATTATTTCAAGTAAATTTGTTAAAACTTACTTCAATCATTTTTTTCTAACAAAAATCAACAATTTGTTTAACTTCAGCGGATAACAGTAATTTGAAACTTGTTCTAATGCCAATGTAAAAACCGGCTAAAAATAACTTTCTCGGGAAATCCGATTTATAAATGAGGCGAAACATATACGGTCGTCATCAGATCTATATAAAAGAAATAAGTAGATCTTTAGTCAGATTGAGGCAAATCGTTGTTTCATTGAGCAAGAAACTTTACAGTCATTGGTTCAAGGAACGGACTCAAACGTGTGTCTATAAGCTTATAAATATCTACACAATTGAACTAAAATAGAGTCTGTAAATGAGGCTCCTTGTCATTGTATTTTTAAAGGAAACTAAGATCATATATTTCTTTCTTCTTTCTTTCTTTCTTTCTGTCTTGAAGTTTCTTTTACCTTAATATGGGGATGATGTGATGTATTTTTGAAAGATTTCTGTGTTTTCTTTACATTGGCCTTTAATATTTAATATTATCGAACTATGTTTTGACGAGTATGCATAGATATTGTAGTTGTTGGGCACAGGCAAGCGGAGACGACGACATATATAATTATTATATTGTTTGTTTGTTTTTCTTTCCCTTTATCAATAAACCGTATTGGATATTCTCTGCACATGATAAAAAAATTTTATATAACTTTTATTTTTCTTCTTGCTCCTGAGAAAACAAAAATCATAACAGATATTGTAATCAAAAATACAGATAGGCTTGTAGTCTCCGCTCGTCCCATTTTGGTTCTTGATTAATTAGATCGCAAAGAGATACCGAAGTGTTTTTTGATGATGGGGAATTAACCTTCTTTACTCTTTTGCTGTATTGTTGCGATATGCAATGGGTGGCGCGATAGCTCAGTTGATTAGACCACTGACTGTCACTCCTGAGGTTCCGGGTTCGATCCTGGGTAACACCCTTGTAGTTTTTTAGAAACACTATCAGTATTTTCCACATACCTAGAGGTATTCTGGTACGAAACCCAGGTAATCGCATGTATCAGTGCTATACACTGGGCATGTAAAAGAAGCAAGGGATCTATTCAATAACAACTAGGGACTGGTTCCCGGATTCCCTTGTATCCCATAGCTGTCTCTAGTGTCTGCTAAGTTGATGACCCTACTGGAAATAAGTGCTTGCACTTTCGTAGGCTATCCTTGACCGCCCGGTCTAAAGAAAATCAAACCAAACTTATTATGAAACATATAGTCCTTATTTAAATATGTACAAGCGACACAACCTTGTTTTTTATTGGGACAGCATCATTTGCTTCACATTGTCTTCTATGGCAGCCTCCAAGGTATTACATGAAAAACATTTGCAGCTTTATCGGACCTCTGGGTAAGTGAGAGTAGACCTACACTCGGGAAATCGGTGTTGAAATACTATCAGGAAAAAGTTCTGTCTATGCAACGCGGGAGAAAAAGGGTAGGTTTAAAATAACACACCTGACTTTTAAAGGGAGAAAACTAGTGAAAACTATGAACATTATAATTTTCCACGATTGTCTCCCTTTCACTAAACTACACTTGCTATTTGCTATATAATTATTTATATACGGATAATAATCCTGCATTCATTGAAATGAATGTCATGCATTTTGAAGGACGTAACATTTACTGTAACATGTATAACCTTTTAATGTACATGACGTAACATTTATTGTACATAACAATTGTTTTATTGTAAATAATTCAACCTTTAGTGTACATGATGAAACCTTTATTGTACAGAATATGACATTTATTCTACAGGATGTAACCTCTATTTACAGGACTTAACATTCATTGTACATACATAACGGAGCCTTTATTGGATATAACCCTGATTGTACAGGACGTAACATTTATTGCATATATAACGGAGCTGTAAATAGTTCAAGCTTTATTGTACAGGACGTAACATTTATTGTACATAACGGAGCTTTAATTGTAAATAGTTCAAGCTTTATTGTACAGGACGTAACATTTATTGTACATAACGGAGCTTTAATTGTAAATAGTTCAAGCTTTATTGTATAGAACGTAACCTTTATTGCACATGGCGTAACGTTTATTATACATGAAGTAACATTTATTGTACATAACTAAAAGGTAATATTTATTGCACTTAAGTAAATCTTAATTTAACAGGATGTAATCTTTATTTTATTTTCATAGCCTTTATTGTATAGGACGTAATTTTCGTTACATACATTACTACTATTGTATACAATTTCAGGAATGTAACTTTACTTTACATGACATAACCTTAATTAAACATGATTTATGCTTTTTTGTATAGAATGAAGTTGAAAAATATTCAACTTACCAATAAATGATACTCAAATTAACACATGTCAAGACCTTACCCTTTAACCCAGTGACCCTAAACAGTGTCCCAAACTATAGAACCACCAAACCAAGAATAAAAACAAAGGTCAATTGATAAATACTGTATGAGCAAATGTGTAAAAAGATATATTTAGCGCAAATGTCCTTCTCCTTTAACACAGTGACCTAAAATTAACTCGAAAGATTACTAAAAGTATGTGTATAGCAAATATAAAGACATCGGTCAATTTATAAAGGTTGTAATACTATGATTGAGCAAGTGTAAAATATATTTAAAAGCTGGTGATCTAGATTAAACTGACGCTTTTGATTGGGTTTACGTCACACCGACACATTATAGGTCATATGGCGACGTTCCATTATAACTGGTAGAGGGAGACCTCCGGTGCCCTTCAGTGCCTTATATCAGACACGAACGGGCACCCGAATAGAACTACCGACGTTCCGTATGCTAGCTGGATCCATTCAAAGGTAGAGGACCATTCAAGTTACATTCTCACCAAATATGAAAGACATCAGCTAACATACAAGGCAGCCTCCGGCTATATTCCCTGCTGCAGTAATCGAGCTAAATATGACCTTGATCTAGGAAAAATCAACTTGGTTTTTCAGCTCTTCGCATCATCCCATAATAATTATGGTAATTATTTGTTCCAAGTGATTTTAGAATCTGTTAAGTAGTTAAAAGGTTATAAAGGACACAAATTGTGGACTTCATCATATTTTGCCTTAAGTTTGTGACCTTGACCTTTGGATAGCAACCTTGTTTGTTGCGCCCTGTACATTGATGACAATGATGATCTTTTGCGACAGGGTATTTCGAAAAAAATTTATTAGTTTTAAAGTAATTAAGTGGACACGAACTCTTACATTTGACTTTGAAACCTTGACCTTAGGGAAAACGACCTGGTGTTGCGTTTCGCACATCATTCCATAATGGTGATCATTTGTGAAAGTTATTTTTAAGTATTTTCATTAGTTTAAAAGTTACGGAGCGGGCACGAAAATGTTAAAGACTAATAGACGGACCAACTCTGACAGACAAAGCCCAATCCTTTAATCAGTTAACTTAAGGAAAAACTTAAATATACCTAGCTTGCCGGAACATGATACATGTACAAAATTTAAAATTATAAAAGGGAATTAACTGGCGGGAATTTTTTTTCGGTAATGTAACTTGCCAAGATCTTAAACTTTATTGTAAATATGCAAGCTGTACGTAGAACTTAAAATTATATTCAACTTGTCCGTTCACTACATTTCGTACAGACGGACACACGTTTTAATTACTATATACCCGGGGACATCAAAACAAACTTAAAAAATACGTATGCTTAGAGTTTATGTATTTTTATATAAATTATTGAACTCAAATACAAATGATTTTTTCAGAATATAGCACTTTATATGTTTTTGGATATAAATTTTTGTACACTTTTATAGTGAAATTTTCAAGTTTTTTAATCGTCTGGTCAATTTTGAGTACATGTATATCCATTTTTATTCACAATTCTATGGCAACGGTTTATTATCCAATGATTTTCTTTTCTTAGAATCATTCGTCTGCTCCTTTTTCCACGCGGGCTCCAATATGATGTCATCGCCTTTATCAACAGAAGTACCAGTCCCAAGTTCAGACGATGCCGGTTCTTGTTTTGGTATAAGTTTGGCATCACAAAACTTTAACGATAAAAAATATAAAAAAAAAATAGAAAAAAATGACAAGTAAATTATGTTCAATCTTTTTTATATAAATATTGTAACTCGTTGGTGAGATATCAAGCGTTGGCTAATGTATAATTTCAGGTAATATATAGACATAAAATCTTGGTAAATCTACAATTGCAAAATACATTTAAATGTCAAGGCCATGGCTGAAAAGTGACTCAGAAATCGGATGTATACATGGTCACAGGGACCGATTTCAGGTAAAAAAAACACAACAAAAAACAAACAAACAATGCAAACCTTTTCCTTCAACTGATGGAATTCTATATTAGTGGACGGTTCGTACTTCACAACCTCAGTTTCAAGGTCACTTTCGGCTTCATCTTCGCCAGACTCGGATTCTTCACTACCATCTGCAGAGTCCGGCTGTAAGAACATTTTTTTTTGTATCTATTATTATTACTATTAAAATTTTGTTATTTGCATATCAAAGAAAATTTCTATAATTGCTTTACTACCAATTTAAATACGAATTATATTATTTGGAATATAACAAGTAATGATGAGTATAATTTAAGCAATGTGACGTCATTTTATATCTAAAAATAAAAATCGGGTTATGAAAACACTAAGATGAAAGAGAAATAGATAAGGTGCATGTTTTGATATTTTGCAAACTTTTTAGTTTCAATTTCTGAATTTTATATAGATCTAGAGCTTATGTGCATTTTTGTCATATGGATATAGTCTATTCGAAAATAAATTACTTGGCTAACTGAACGCGATCTGAGCTTAATTAAATTTGGTTCGAAATATATAAGCATTCGGGAAGAAAATCAATACAAATTAAAGCAAACAGCGACTTTTTGCACATTTAACTTTCTTTAAAAAATGAATGAATATTTTTTGACAAAATTATCACCAATATTGTAAAAACAACATTATTACGTCACATGAAATATGACGTCACCTCATAATCCGGGTCCTCCTCGGAGTCGTAGTTATCGAAGTCAAAGTTATCCATGTCGTCCTCGCTTTCAGAATATTCGTCTGTTAATATTTCATCATATTTCCGTTTCTCTTTCGCCTCTTCTCGGTCTGGACTCGAGGGCTTGAGGGCTAAAAACAATAAAAAACATACAAGTCATAGCCTTTAAAACTTTGATATTATTGGGACTGATTTAAAGTCAGTCTGTAAGACCATGTTAAAATCATATTGCAATTTTCGAACTTTTTTTTTAATACTTCAGTTGCTCTCCGTGCGTTCCCTCTGGAAAAACAAGCAGAAATCACAGTAAAACCAAAAACATTCACGAATTGAACTTCACAAATTCACGATTTTTACTTCAAAGTTGTATTTGTGAAGTTTTTGAAAATCGTGAATTCATTACGTTGAAATAGTCAATTCATTACGTTGAAATTTTGAATTCACGAAGCTAAATCGTGAATTCGTGAAGTTGAAATCGAGAATTCAAGAAGATGAAATCGGGAATATATAAGTTGAAATGTCGCCACCGGTCTTTCGTATATATAAGACATAACTTACATTCACCAATGTTTATAGACAAAACATTCTTGTAACCAAGTAATCTGTAAGTTCGTTGTTTAATACGTCCAAATAAACTTGTCGGAGCCTGCATTCTCTTCTTCGGAGATACCTGAAATAAAATAGTTAATCAGATACAGAAAATCTATTTTATTAATAAAACTTAGGCCCTAATGACAAGAGGTGCTGCAATCTAACGTTAACATTGTACATCATTTTCATCAGGTTTCTTCTTGAGCCTTAATTACATTTAACAAACATCATTAGAAGAATATATCTTAAGTTATATTTATACAATAAAGACACACTGCTGTCTCCCTCCCAAACACAGACCTTTATCACCCCCCCCCCCCCCCCCTCTTTAAACGGATGACAATAATAAATTCAGTAAAACTGTTAAAACAGCAGTCGATTTCATTTAGCCATGCCGGTTTCAGACTGTCAAAAACTACATGCATAGCTTTACACGCTTTTCAAAAAATAAGATCAATCTGTTTTGTAGTATCACATATTAATATTGTTCATCTATCACATATGAGCCGCGTCATGATAAAAACAACAGGATCCATGCTGTTCGCTATCAGTTTCTCTACTTGTAATAGGGTTTGTAGGCGAACAACATGGATCCTGATCAGACTGTGCGGATGCGCAGGCTGGTTTGGATCCATGCTGGTCGTAAACGCACTATGTTGGTTTTGTCGTGACGCGGCTCATATGTTGTTTATGTATTACAAATTTTTTTTTAATAATAATAATAAAGACTTTATTTAACGAGAGAACTCATTTGAACAAACAAATCAATCTTCCATGAGGCCCTCAACAAGGAACAATATAAATCTAACATAATCAAACTATTAAAATACATAAATGTAAATACATACAGGGGATTATCAATTTGTATACATCAATGCGTGATAAAACCTCAAGTATAAGGTTTTTAAATGGTTAACAGATTAACGTAAATATTGTTCATAGCATGACAGCTTTATTTCTGTATTTTAAGATTTCTTCATAGATATGCAAATAAAATATGTTTACCAAGGCAAAATGGGGTTACATACGTTATTCAAACTAAACCTTTACAGTGTATAAAGCTAATTCATATCTGGTGCAAAAACAATCCATTGTTTTAATTCAAAATAATTTTTAAGAAAGGAATACTTCCAAAATGCTTGTATGAAATAAATACGGCTGTAAATTATTGTCATAAAAGCGAATGGCGCATGCACAAAATCATTGCTTAATGCCATTGATAAAATCCTGCTTGAAACAGCTGATTATTTTATTCCGGAATATTTTATTCTGTTTACATACAATATTCATGTGTGTTAAATAATAGGGCCATTCTATGTTTACAACCCTCTTGAGAAAAAAATCGACCATGACAATATGGAACCAATATAATTTTAGAGCCGATACATTTTATAAAAATATCTCTTAAGATATAGCTTTATTTCCTTTAATGTGAATCCTGCATTCTCTATTTTTCTGAGGCAAAACAATAAGCAAAAAACATTTCGTTACCTTGCGCCGGGAACCAATTTCCTGTTTTTTCTCCGGTGTGAGTACTGTTTTGTATCTTTTCCCTCCAGCATAGCGGCGCAATGACCTCATAACTTGTACCTAATTTACAACATACACACTATTTTAAAATTACTGTCATAGCACAAAAAATATGTCATAACGTGTTTTATTATATTTATATTTATTTTTTTATTCTAATTTATTTATTTTTTAATTTTTTGTCATAGCGGTAATTTAAACGACGTAATTATGGCGATTTCTCTCCGACTAAACTGTACCGAGTAAAACTACCGACCCTCTAATAGCTACATGTACCCAGATAGCTTGCTCACATGCAACGTCACTGTCGGGATTCGAACCTTTGTCGGCGGGAGGCTAATGCTTAAAAGTCAGCGACATTAACCAGTCAGCCAAAAAATCCATAGTTAACTTGTTAAATTATTATAGCAGAAATGATTTAAGGCGATCAGGTTATCAAATGATCTCAAATATATATTTTTTTCTCGCTGCTGTTATTATTTGTCTGCATACAATTGCATTATTTTGAAATCAAAGATTAAATATTTGCTTTCGATGCGAAATGATTTAACTATTCGTCCGCAAATTTAGAGAAAGAAAAAACACGATAAACTTAAGACAACAGCCTCAACTAATATTAACAGAAAAGTATGTTCACACCAAACTTTTGAGTACATTTCATTATAATCATTTGAATATTTTTCCATTTTTAAAATACATCACTTAATTCATGCAAGAAAATCAAATTATATATTTTTTTAGACATGTTGACCTTTATATAAGTAATACTTACCAGTACTTCTAAAGGAAAAACCACGCCAAGTCTGTACACTTTTTGTACCAAACCAATCTCGTTGTGCTGTAGGATAAAATATAAAATACAAATTCTGATACATTTTCCCTTTAATTTAATAAAATGTTTCTAAATGTGTAACAGAACTTTTTCTGTCATATGCTTTAGTTACTTTGTATTATTATAGCATTGCAATAGTTTTTAAATAAAAGTTATAAATGTATATGTAATTAATGATGTAGTATTATAAAGAATCGATAATGTACAAATGACAAAAAGGTTACTTTCAAATTCATAATCGAAAACTTTTAAACGTTTATCAAACTTAATTGAGGCAAGTTTAAAGGTTAAGAAAGGGAAGACGACCAGTATCCCCGTTCGTTTATAGTTGGCTTTATAGTTGACCTTTATACCTTGTCCTTGACCGTTAACATCGTCTGTTGACCTTTGTGTGCCTTACCGGCGTCTCCGTCAGCCTCGCACGCTCCACTGTCCTCTGACGCGTATGCGTGCTCTTTAGTTAAGTGCACCTGCTGAGAATGGAAGGTAACTATTATACTAATCATTACAAATAGCTCACATGGCATTTGTTCTATTTCCGGTTCTGATTCCGTTGCTTCAATGTTTATAATGTCCACTCGTCATTTTTCAACTAAAGGCGCGATACACAACCAAATAATCTATGCACTACATTAATAAGAAGCTTTTTAAACACCATCATGGTTTTACAATCAAACGTTCTTAAGCAAGAGTAAATAAAAGAAAAGCGCAGTACCTTTTGCAGTGATGATCTCGTCACTTTACGCTTTCGTGGACTTCGGTCACGTGGTCTTATACGCCTTAGGAGGTTTTCGCTCTTGTCAAGTGCCCAGTCAAGTCCATGAATCAAAACTTGCCCAGGCGGTGTCCTCATCACCCCTCGGACGGTGTTCTTAAATCCACTCGATGTTGTGTCCATTATCTAAATTTGTTCAAAAACCACATTGATATGAGGTTGGCATATGCGAATTACTTCATCGATTGTGCTTTTTAGTATTTATAAAGGTTTTCTGATATATAGGTAATACCATTTAAAAATGAGCCGCGCCATGACAAAACATAGTGCGTTTGCGACCAGCATGGATCCAGACCAGCCTGCGCATCCGCGCAGTCTGATCAGGATTCATGCTGTTCGCTATCAGTTTGTCTACTTGTAATAAGGTTGGTAAGCGAACAGCATGGATCCTGATCAGACTGCGCGGATGCGTAGGCTGGTCTGGATCCATGCTGGTCGCAAACCCATTATGTTGGTTTTGTCATAGCACGGCTCAAATATTTTCAACACAGCACTTAATAAGTAAACAGGTTTTAAAATAAAGTATGGATAATTCATTGTGGTTAATAACAAATATATCATTGATACGGTTGATAATTATAGCAATATAGCATTCCAAAACCATTTCAGAGTTATTGGTCTTGGAAAGTAACATGAATCAGGTTTCAAGTGAATACATCAGTAGTTTTTTGATAGATTTTTTTTGCAAGGAAAACATGAACCAGATATTTTCTAAAGTCACACAGTTGGCCTTGTTCTTTACTGGTGGAAAAAGGCTAATCGTTTTCTGTTCTAGTAGTTTAAGGGCTAAATAAAGAGTAAAGGTTCGGATTTGTTACCTCGCTCGGAGACGTGTGCAGGACCGGGTACTTCTCCTTCAGTTTACATACGCCATCTCCCGCCATGCTGTCAACTCGAGCAGCTACCAGAAACAAAAATACAGACATTTATTGAGATCTTTCATTTATGTGTCAATTTAAATATATACTCAGAAATAAATTGAGAATCGTATTTTTGTGCTTTTCTTTGTACAATTTAATTAAGGCAAAACGTTGCTTACAATAATCAATCAGAGTTATTCTTGACAAATGGAGCCAGCGAATGGTCTGAAATTTTGCACACAAGTTGTTGTTGCTCTAGACCAACATGAAATGGAACATTATTCTCGAAAAAAAAAGAATCCTCAATCGAGTCCTATTACCCTGTATGTAGCGTAGACCTTATTTTTTTTATTAAATCAAAATTATTTGGCCATTATATTTATTTTTTTAGCGTATGCTAGACCAAAATATCGTATCATTTCTGTGTATTCATAGTTTATGTATTCGAAGATTGACGAAAAGGGTCGAAAATGCGATGGATTTATTATAACATATATTGCACATACCTAAGCTGGAGCTGGTAAAGGCCATTTTGAACACATTAGAGACGCTGTGCTCGAGTACCGCGAGTCCGGTGCTTAATATCCGGGACCTGCCCTTTGTGTGCGTGTACAGTTCCTCTATAGACTGTAGCACGGGCAGTTCTGCAATCTCCTAAAAAATGGAAAAACAAATAAAATAGCCAAACAATTACAGGAGCTTGACTTCAGGCGGGCAAAATTGTTTCAAATTTAAGATTTTACCAATCTGACTAAAGTTCAGATGTACTTAAATTATTTCTTGCATGTAGCATTTATTAGGTGATTTTAAATCAGATTGACATTTTACCTGCTCATTTTGATATGAAAAAATATCTATTTTAGTTATTTACATCAAATCAATGACTTATTTGTACTGCATGACCGTCCAACATATCTCCTATATTGGACACTTAAGTATCCATTATGATCGTTATGAATTATAAAATAGTTAAATACGGAAATATAGTTGTATAAGTATACGGTTGGATGCCGGTTACTTCAAAGTGAACGGTAGTGAGACATTCCCTCGATAGGAGTGTAAAAAGTAGGGACACTATATTTGATCAGTCGCTAGTCGAGTCCAATATGATTTCGCAACCTGTGTAGGACTCCAAAAATATCAACGTTATGTATTAAACAATGTTAAATATATATCAGCACTTGGCTTGTGTACACTACCGTTCTTCGCCGTTGCACCGTAGTAGTTGTACTTCCGACTTAATAACGGTAAAATATAACCTAATTATTCTTTATGTAACACGTAAAAACTTCGACACATCGAATATATCAACACAAATTGTGACTCGTATATAGGTTTAAATAAATACATGTACAGTATATAGTAGAAAATATCGTGATCAACTTATCGGGAGTTCGACACATAGAAGTTCTACTATATTAAAAACTGAACCCAGTATTTTTACCAGCAGTACTATTGTTTTGATATAAGTCTTTCATTCACAAGTAATTACTTTGTTCAGGTTTTCAAACGTCATTAAATATCAAGACACAAGTTTTATCCTTATAATACGAAATGATATGCTAAAATGAGTTTCGGTAGGCTGTGCAAAATAAATTAGCCCGCGTATACAGGTAGGGTAGACCCATATATCCAAAGTAACTTTGAAAATAGAAAAATTGAAAAACCCACATGTGCCTTAAACGAAACACAATCATTATTACCCAAGTATGAGCAATAAGGAAAGACAATCCATAAAATATACATATATCCGCCTGTAAAAGAAGAGTTATGTGACAAATACCATGATTTCCTTGTGCAAAATTTGACATAAAAGTCGCTTATACCAAGTATCGTTCACACTATCATCAAATGTTATATTACATGCACACTTTGCATTACAAAAAACTATTTACACAACAGTAATGCATTTTTTATAGGTGTTTTGTATTTCTTGGATAGTCTATATAAAATAAAACTTGTATTCGAATCTATTTAATTTTCTGATCACAGGAGTTTGAAATTATGTCGATAAAAAAGCAGTATAGAAGGATTGACAAACGAAATTACTGTAACCTGTGTTGGGCGCAGGACTGATGTGTCGGACCCCTGTGGTTTTGTGCAATATGCAGTGATGTCCGAACACCGTATCTTTGGAGCCTATGTATTTTAACTTGTACATTTATTGCGATAACAGGAAGTAGTTCATGCGTAATGTAGGAAAATCTCACTTTTCAGAATAATAATTATATTACATGTATAGAAGGAACGTTTTTATAATATATATCTCAATGTGCAATCTCACACTACTGTGGTTTCAAATTCTAATTTCTTATTCTCTACCCATGCCCTTAAATAAACCTTTTGGGAGAACAGTAAATGGCTTTGTAGAGGAGCAGGTGGGGGTGAACAGAGTTTTTGTGATAAACGGGGATGGAAGGGGGATTCACATTACTAATATCTGTGAAAAACAAAAGAAAACTATCATGTAGCAATTCTAACTCAGTCATTTAAATATTTACTTGCAAGAAAGTAAATGCCAATGAAATGTTACCTTATAAAAACAGGAGGATTTCAAAGCACTCGAGTCACAAACGTCGGCCATGATGCTACTGTCCCGCTTTCACTGTACAACTAAACTGTGTAGTTGGGTAAAAAGTTCACGAAAATCACGTGCGAAATATATAGTGACTTTCAACCAATCAGCGAGCGAGTTTTAACACAGAAAATCAATACACAGTTTATCGACAGATAATTTTATGCGTATAAAATAAGAAAATAAGTGATTGTGAGAGTTTGTTTGATAAAAAATATGTTTACTAATAACTAAATTGAAATTATATCTAGTGTCATGTGTTCGCGGCAGCCAAAAGGTGAATTAAACAATATTGCTCAGATATAAACAGACAACTACTACATGACAAAACAATTTTTGTGACAAGAGTTACCTCCATTGTCTCATTGTTTTTTCAAAAAAAAAAATACTCCTTCGCTATTTAATTTATCTTAACCATCTTTTGCCTCTGTTGGTTTTGGCAATTAGTACCGTTAAAGGGAGACAAGGGAAAATTTTCATTTCTTAGTTTTGAATTTTTCATTCATTAATCTGTAAATGCCCTCAAAATAATTACATTACACAGTCAAAGGAACAAAATTTTTCTCCATATAAAGAATAAAATTGTGGTTTCCTAACTTGACCCGCGTGGGTCAGGTTAGAGCGCTAGGTTTTCACAAAAGTTGTCACAGTGAACTCTGGATACGTTAAAGAACATGTCAAATGAATGACTTAGGCTTGTTTTTATCATAGACTATCCCCAATATCTGTTATTGTAACTTCAAGGGTTTGTTCATGTCACATGACTTGTTTTAAAGCTATTCGATGATTCTATTGGCGCCTAAATTTTGTTCAACATATATAGATATATTTACGCTTGAAACACAAAATATATAGAATTAAAACAGAAATTCATGCTGGGTCTTTAAGAAATGTCCTTTTAACGTGATTTGCGTAAATAAAATTATTTTAATATTTATGTCATTATTTTGCCTGAATATCCCTTTAAAGTGCATAATATACAATCAAATGGGATGACAACCGATTAAAGCGTCGACATCCGTCCAAATAAAATGATTCATTTTACAGCATATCAATTAAATTAAAGTACGATTATATGTAAGAAAGTTCGTAAGTGTGCGTGCGTGCGTGCGCATGTGTGTATGGGGTGAGGGGTATGTAAGAAAATGTTCATTTGAAATATACATCAATTAAGGCACCTTTTTTCTCAGCCTACTTGACGGGCTATTATTTGTTGAATCTTAGCCGAAAGACCCTTTTCTCGATTCACCGCACTGTTTTTTCAATATTAGAAAAAAAAGAAAAGATAAAGACTTTACTCAATACAGATTCATTATAAGATTTAGTCATTTGTAAAATACATAACAAAGGTTTGCTACAACTTTGTGTGAGTATTTATTTTGTAATTGAAAGCTTATCAAAAATTAATACTTAAATAATTAGTTTAAACATATTTATTCCCGAAAGTATATATAATGTACATACATACAAATATATAACAAACAAAACATTTTACACAATGGAAAAGGATGAGAATGAAAGACAAGTCTTATAGAATTCTTCTCCTTTGGCGAACTATATGGTTTGTCTTAAATAAGTTTATAATTAGTATATACTAGACAAGGGAATAAGTATTAATTATACACACATAAAAATATATATTTATATATAAACTTTTATAGAATAGATTAACTACAAGTCTAAAATGTAAGAATATATATAAAAGAAGAAAACAAAATAGTGGAAAAGAGAAGAAAAAGGGTGAGAGAGGATTATAGTCTCAATTAGAATGGATCTAAGTAAATCTTTTCGTTTTTTCTATATAATTTTGTACATTTGTAAATATAATAACGTTGTCCTGGTATGTAAGAGATGGGTCACCATAGAGAAGTTTATGAAGGTTTATGCTGAAGTCTTGCAAGTTAAGGAGGAGTGTTCTGCGGACGGCATCGTATGCACAGCACTCGAAAAAGAAATGTTGGGTAGTTTCGATTTGCCCACAATTACACAAAGGGGTAAGAGAAATGTTTTTCAAAAACAGGTGGTGATTTAATGCGCTGCAGTTCGTTCGAAGCCGAGTGTGAAGGACCTGCAGTTTACGACTACCTGTATAAAAGTATGTTGGTGTATATTTTCTGTCCTTGTTTAAGAAAGTTTTAAATGAAGATATTGTAGGGCTGTTTCGTATTATAACAGGCAAGTTGTTCCAATCACGAATAACTGATGGCAAGAAAGAATTGTGGTACAGAGTAGTCCTTGATGTAATTCCTCTGATATCTTCAGAGTTTCGTAAGCTGTAACGGGATTGATCTGGATTTGGTATTAATGATGAGAGATAATCTGGAGTTTTGATCGACTGCATATTGTGAAACATAATTAGTTTGTGTTTATATCTTCTTTCGGATAACGATTCCCAATTAATTTCTTTCTGCAAAGTTTCTAGTGAGATAAGCTTGGTCGCACCAGTTGCAATGCGTGCACATTCATTTTGAATCTTATCAAGCTGTTCGAGTTCATATTGGGTACAATTGCACCAAATTACATCACCGTATTCCAAAATAGGTCTAATGAATGCTATATAGATGATTTCCAAAGATTTACGATCCAGAGAGAATTTCAGTTTACGCATTATATTAACCCTTTTCCAAGCTTTATCAGTTATGTATTCAATATGTTTGTGCCATGTGCAGTCAGAAGAAAGAAAGATGCCTAAATGTTTGTGTTCAGAAACTTCTGGAATTTGTTGGTTAAACATATGCAATGAAGGGTGATGCTGACGATTTCGCTTTCTGGTTACAAGTAGGGATTCCGATTTTGAAGGATTGAAGGTGACTAACCACCTTTCTGCCCATAAAGAGATTTTTTGGATGTCAGACTGAAGAAGTGTGGCTGCTGTGTTAGGATGTTCAACTATAACATAAAGACTGGTATCATCAGCAAAAAGGTTTATGAAAGATTCAATTTCATTAACAATATCATTTATAAAGATCAAAAATAATAGGGGACCAAGTATAGAGCCTTGAGGGACTCCTGCTTTGACAAAAGCCCATGATGAGTAGGCGCTAGGTAGTATGACCCTTTGTTTTCTATCAGTAAGGTAACTATTGAACCAAGATAACAAAGATCCACATATACCTGCGTGCTTTAGTTTCGAAAGTAGGCCTTTATGCCAAACCTTGTCAAACGCTTTACTGATATCAAAGAAAACCACACGAACTTCGAGGCCATTGTCAAGTGATCTACAAAGGGTATCATAAATGAAGGCAAGCTGATTAACAGTAGAATCACCCGGGATAAAACCAGACTGAGCAGTAGACAGAAAATTATTTACTTTGAGAAAGTTAAAGATGTGTTTAAATACAAGACGTTCAAAAACTTTTTCTGTAGTGTTCAAAAGTGATATGGGTCTATAGTTATTTGGGAGAGATGTATCGCCCTTTTTGTGAACTGCAGTGACATTCGCCTCTTTCCATGTAATTTGGAACTTCACAACATCGTAGAGAAGCATTGAATAAGTCACACAAGGGGGAAGATAGTTCATGAGAAGCCTCGCGTAAAATTCTATTACTTATACCATCTGGACCTACTGCTTTGTCAACTTGTAACGAAAGAAGAACATCTTTTACTTCATGAGGGCTAAGCACAATATCGTTGAGACAGGAAAGTGGTGAACTAAGGTAAGGTGGATCTCTGTTCTCATCGTTAATAGACATTTGTTCTACGAAGAAGTTATTTAGAAGATTTGCCTTATCGTTATTTGAGTAAACAATATTTCTGTTTAAGGGGTCTGTCAGTGGTGGAATGCTACTATTATTTGTTGATGAAATAAAAGATTTCAGAGTCTTCCACCAGTCTTTAGACGAAAGTGATTCATTTTTCAATTTATTAGAGAGTTTACAAAAATAGTTTGACTTGGCTTCCCGTATCAATAATATTGTTTCATTACGAATAGATTTGAATCTTTGCCAGTAATATTGTGAATTTGTCATTCTAGCTTTTTTATACAGACGTTTTCGTTTACGGATATTAACTCTGATTGAGTTTGTCATCCATGGAACATCTAATGGTCTTACTTTAATCAATTTGTTAGGGATGTTATTTTTAGCAATTGTTTGTATCTGATTGATTACGTTATTCGCATATATGTTAACATCTGCATCAAAGCAGTTTTCCCATGTATAGGTATTTATATCTTCACGTAATGCTTCGTAGTCAGCATGTTCATATTCCCAAATAATGCGATCAAAACACATTTGTCGCGGTTTACGGAATTTCAGAAAACCAAATATAGGAACGTGATACCTTAGTTCTTGTTCTAGAAAGTGATCACCAACACCAGAATGAATAACATTGCTTTTGTTTGAAACTAATATAAGGTCGATCAAAGAATTTGAATGTTCAGTGTAATGTGTTGGTTCATCTATTAGTTGTTCTAGATTGAACTGTTGAGTGATGGATGTAATTTTGCGGTTAGATGAATAACAGTTTACATTTAGATTGAAATCACCCGTAATGATGATGTCAGGTATATTAGTGTCAATGGCTAGACCAATAGAATCTTCAATTAGATTGTTGTATATGACATCTGAGTTAGGCGGTCGATAGAAAATACTAAATAGAATATGACGATTGTTACAAAGAATCAACTCGATCCAAATACATTCTAACCTGTTTAATTCTAGATCTATTCTACGTTTGTAGTGTATATTGTCTTTAATGTACAAAATAACACCACCGTGAGCATCCCCAATGCGATCTTTGCGTTCAGGGGAATGATACGAGGAAAGTAATAAGTCTTCTGTTGATATAGAACTTTTTAGCCAAGTTTCGGAGAAAGCAAGAATATCAAAATCGCAGAGTTCTGAAAAAAGGATATCGAGTTTATGTTCAATACTCTGAACATTTAAATGTACGAAAGAAAGATGATTTTGAATATGATTAATTTCCGATGGAGTAGAGGTCATGGATGAGACTGAGGAAGTAGCTGAGATTGGACCAGGATTCGGATGAATGTCTCCAGATACATGCAAGAGAACTGCTAGCCAGGAATAGTACACCAATACAAATAGCAAAGTTAAAGTATTACTGGTAAATTGTATGTTATTATAAACTCTTGTGGTGAATGTCATTACCTTTTTTGAAGAGAATCTGACGATTAACAGTTTATTTGAGGATAGCCAATAATGCATCGAAAACACAAACAATGGGATACTACAGATAAATACCAAAGGCAAAACATGAAAAGTGATTGGAAAATGAAGTGACCTATATATTTTTGTATGATTTCGTGAAGGCTTCGCAAGTGTTTTCGTTTCATATAAGACTTATGGGATAGCTATTATAGCGAGAAAAAAACTTTTGCAAAGCCAACATTGACAACTTGTATGTACAAGGGACAGAAAATCATACGTATGCAGAGTGATGGACAACTAAAAAGAAATTTGGATATGAGACAGATAAAAAACAAAGAGTTAGGAAAACAAAAGAAAAAGAAAGTACTAGTATCATTAGTAAGTAATTAGTAGGAGGGATTTTAAGGGACATTAAAAAGTAGGTAGAAAGTTATTTGTTGTTTAAAGCGGAAGTCCGATAGGACAAGTCTGTAAAATATTGAGCTGGATAGATTTAGGTAAGTATGAATGTATTTTTTATTTTGATCTAAAACGAGGATTGGATGAGGTAGGTTTGATAAGATAAGTGTGTAAGTTTATTATGATGGTCTATTCTAGGTAAGTAAAACATTTGGTTGAAGCTGATTCGGAATAAGATCAGTTGAAGTATGTATGCAAGACAAGAATGATAATAGACTATTATTTAATCAAGTTTATCTTAGTCTAAAATGATAATCTAATGAGGTGAGTATATATGTTTGTCAGAATGTATGCATGCAAGACAAAATGATATTAAACTATTATTTAATCCAGTTTATCTTAGTCTAAAATGATAATCTAATGAGGTGAGTATATATGTTTGTCAGAATGTATGCATGCAAGACAAAATGATATTAAACTATTATTTAATCCAGTTTATATTAGTCTAAAATGATAATCTAATCAAGTGAGTATATAAGTTTGTCATTATTTGGGAATGTCTGTAGTTATGATGATCGTATATAATGAGTTATATCAAATATATTGAGGTAGTTTTTATAAGAAATTTTGATTCATAAAAATGATAATAAATAATGTTGTTATTCAGATGAGGTAAATAATATCGTCAAAGAAAAGTAAAAAAAAAAAAACAAAAGAAAACGTAAATGATAAATTCAAATAAACATTAGTATAGATAAAAGAAATAGGAACATAAGATAAGATACTTAAATAATTAATGTGAACACTATTAAAATCGTTTCCAGCTTTTGGTATATGATGTACATATTAAATTTGATAAGACTTTTAATTGTGTACATGTAACCGACATTGCCTTTAACTACATTTATCAAAAATTGATGTAGCGAAGTTCCAATTTTATTTTAAATTGATTTATTATTTATGTTTTAATGTTTTAAAAACTTACACAGAATGTTCTTTCAAATATCATGATCCATCCTTAACAAATAAGAATTGTCAAAATGTGTAAAAATAAGCCTTATTAAACACAACTGCGAGGAACAAAACAGTGTAACTTTTTTCTTTCGTTACGTTATTAAGTAATAGAAAGAACATCGAAACACGAGGCTAGTATAAATCAGATTGCCGAGTGTTTTGATGTTCTTTCTCTTTTGTATCATAGTTAAAAAATAAAAACACGTTCCCTGATGTCACAATATGAAACCCCAGAAAAAGGAACCAATGAACGAGCATCTGAAAATGATATTTCTATCGCTTTCCCTTTCCCCGTCATCACAATATGTAAACCCCAGACAAAATGAAAGTATCAACAGCCCGTTCGCATAAATATATACCAGATAAAGAAAGGTAAATAAATAATAATCAATTTTGCATCTTAAGTCTGCATTAACATGGGTCTGTTTCTTTTCAGTAAAAAGTAGATCGGCTTATAAAATTTACGGAATAATTATTTGTTGTATTTTCCGTGCAAATAGTATTTTGACTTCTACTGCAATTTACAATATAAGAACGCATGATGTAATTTTGGCAGCGGTTATCTTCCATAACAAGGACTTGTTTCAGCTTACATATTGTCATTATTAAAACTGCTGTTCTATAAAACGGAACATAGCTTTTTCTAATATGCTTTTTATTGTCTGTTAACAGTCCTATTTATTTACTTTCATTACTCGTTTGTGTCTAGTCCTTTATCATATCCCCTCGAGCAAGGACACGAATGACAGCCATTGTAAAACACTATAGACCTTAAACTCACACTGATCTGACACACAGGTAACTACTGAAACAATGACACACAGTGCACTACTGACACATAGAACCACTATGCAGACACCAACTGACAAAGGATACATGAATCACAGAACTACTCACACACTGCTCGGACGCATAAACACTGAACTCACTACACTCACAGAACACCACATGGTACACACTTCAAAGGAGCGGGGTATGACTGTCGTTTCCCATACATAACTAAAGAATGCTTAGGCCTTGAACCTTCAAACTTGGTACTGGGATTGTTCATGACAAAGAAAAATGACACTTATGGTTTCTGGAGTCTTTGGGTCAAAGATCAAGGTCATATCGACCTTGTAGGTAAAAACAGTTTCCAATCGATAACTTGACAACACATTTACCGTCATACTACATAGGTGGTCTTGTCAAGTATAATAGCCCCTTTTGATTCATGGGTCAAAGGTCAAAGTCACATTGACCTTGTACGTTATAATGGTTTCCGACCAATAACTCAACATCTCAAGTTGTCTTGGTTGATATTTTTTATTAAACTTAAAATGCTTTTAGTATACACATTTTAAGGTCTAATGTACATGATGTAATATTACAAATTTGCTGTCATTATGGACGCCTATGTGATTTATGAAATTTATGCATATATCATTTGATAAGATTTGTGAAAACTTTGTCATAAAATTGCTGCACACAACCTTTCTGATCTCTTTACTCATGACATGACAAAAAATGACCCCTTTTTTGTCAAAAGTCAGACACAATAACCTGGCCACATGGCTAATTGGCTGTCGATAGGGGGCATACATGTTTGACAAACATATTTTGTTTAAATTATGTTCAAATATGAATATTGGCTTTGTTTGTCAATTAGTTTTGATGAAATATTCACGCTAGAGAGAGGCTCGCATTTAATGATAAATAAAACAGAACATAACAGAATGTTATGACAACTTGTACGAAGTACATCATCAACAATACATTATATTCACATATATATAATAGCCACATGAAAATTTACAATCAAAACCTACATATTACATTTTTCGTGTACAATAATTTACGGACAATAAACAAACAAACATATAATTATGAAAAGTGTGTACTTACTTTTTATTAATCTTCTGAGACAAAATAACGAAAAGTTTAGGTAGGGAAATTTTACAGATAAATTCCATTTAATTTTTATAACTACTTGCATACTGTAAGTATATAATAACAATTGGATTTGTAAGTATATAGCATATGTATTTAGGTTTTTTTTCTTTTTTTCATTCTTTATTTTCCTTGTAAAGTATTAATATTTGAACAAATTTAACTATCTATATATATAGCGTCCGGAATTTAGAAACGAAATTTCAACACAACGTAGTATAGCTATACAATTGACGCTGCATCATTTTCACCCATGCTATACATCCTGCTATTGATGGGCACGTCAGCGTCCATTCTGTGTAACTGTTTCTCATTCCTAAAACGCTTCTCGAACGCTTTTCGCAGCGCCGCCCCACTTGCGTTCCCGCGTCTATTAAAGATATCTTGCCGACCATTCCGATGCATCATGGCTGCTGACATGGTTTCATAAGCTGGCGGGTTGTTGGACCATGTAGAAACATCAGCTGAATCACTTGTCACTACAGACTGAGATTCGTAATATTCTTCGTCATCCGTTGGCTCATAGTCAGGTAACGAATCTTCATAGTCAGGAGTCGGCTCGTTTTCAATATTACATAATTTCTGTAGCTCCATCGACTTCATAATTATCTCCCGAACTTTGTCTTTCTCCGTGAACGTTTTCCCGCAAGATATATCCGTGATTGATAGCATATGTAGCATTGTACCCCATCGATGAATGAACATGCCCAAAAACTGTACGCACAGTATCGTAGCGAAAAATGCCAGGAATATTAGACCAAGCGGTTCAAATGCAAGATCATCTGAAATTTCCCAGCGTGGAATTTTAAAGAATAAAGTATCTTTAAGATCTTCCTGGAGTATTTGCAACTGCATTGACAATGCGATCCAGAGTGCACTTGTCATGAAAAATCCAAACACGACGTTATTTCTTAAATTCTTGAGATCATGTTGAACCTTTTCTTGGTGAATTTTGTCTTCATTCAGTGGGTATAAATATTTCATGATAATTTGCTTCCAGAAAATAGATTCCTTCTCATTTAGGCTTTTAATTGGACCATCCCCGCATATAGCAGATTGTAGCCAACCAGGATTGTCGGCATCTTCACGTTGTAACCAAACAGGTATGCTGTTTTCATGATTTTTTACAGACTTTGCCTCATCCTCCTCTTGTTTGGTCTCTTCTGTTACCAGATCTGTATTCGGCTCTTCATTACACTGTTCGGTATCCGGTTTTATTTCAGGCATGCGCATTGGCGTTAATTTGTCACTGTCTTTGTTTTCTCTACTTCTACGTATTTCGTGGATAAGCTCCTCTAGCAAAACATCTGTTTTTGATTTTTCATAATGAGAAGCTTCTGTTCTTAATTGCTTAAAGACTTCCCCGACATCTTTGAAGAATGAATTCAACCCCATCCAGCCAAGGATTCCCTTTTTCCTTTCTTCTCTTTTCTTGCGATTTTCTTCCGCAACACGTTTTTCTTCCGCAATTTGCTCTTTTGTTTTACGTTTTGGGACCTCTCGCGTTCCCCATGATACCGTGTTCATATTACATAGGTAGTACATTGTTAAAAGCAAGTAGCCTGTAGGAAGACATATAAAATAAAGAGCGCCTGGAATGACACAGAAGAATTCCTCCGGGTGCATGATGGCGGATATAAAGAATATTAGCACGAGCATTACCAAAAACACAACATTGGGACTGGTGACACCGCCTTCTATAGCTTGGCCTACAGTTCCAACTAAAACTACAGTCATTAATATTGCATACACTGCACTCATAATTGATGCAATCGTCATCTGTGTACTTGGTTTGGCGTAGATGCAGACGATAATAAAGAAGATTGCCGGTATCAAAGCTAAACAGTAGGATTCTATCACGGTCAACTTAAATACGACAACAAATGCTCCTGCCAACATTAACAAGATTGTTGCTGGACCAAGAATTGTGGATACCATGAGACAAAATTGATACAGAATATACAGCGTGCTTATGTTGTCGTTGATGCTGATTGCTGCTTTCCAGCCACCTAAAAGGTCTACAATGTTAGCAAGTGTGCTCGGGCCCCAGCGACGCCGCTGATTGAAGAATTCAGAGAAGGTTTCCGGCGCATGCGTCAATGCGTCGGAGGCTGCGCAATAGTCGATACGGTAACCTTGTTGTAAAAGTAAAGTACTCAGCCAGCGGTCTTCACCTACATTTAGAGAATAGAAATAACTACATGTATAAATATTTTTTTAAGAATAACGAGAGCTATCTTACATCAACATATCTTCTCTTTTTGCGGGGTAATGGGTTTTTAAAAGCATTACCGAAATTTGTTTTAGAAAATTTGAGTAGCACTGCGTCTAATAGGTTAGTTACTTTTTCGCACTTCATCTTCATTACCGTGTAAATGATAAAAAGATCAAGATTTGTTTTGTACATAAAAGGTCTCCTTTTATATCAAAATGCGTTAATAATTCAAATAATTGGCCCAAATTCATCCAAATGAAAATTATGATACATTGTATAATATTGTTTATTACCGTTTTCTTTTGTCGCCAGGTAACATACATGTACCAGTAAAATTACATTATTTTAGTAATCCAGATATTTCATTACATGATATATAATTTACAATTTAAATGATAGAATTAACTGTGTACAATGGAATATACATTTGTATATATAAATAATAACCTTTTGTCAAAATGGACATTTTTTGTAACTACTCAATGCTACCAACTTATAAGGTTGTGTAACACTATTATCACCTACCTTGATCATACTGCACGTAGTGACCGGCCTCTGTGGCCCTGGTGGCGTAGGTTCGAGCCACATTATCGTCCATCAGAGCAGAACCTCTAAAGAGGCTAAAACATCCAGGTGCGCACATAACACAGCCGAACACGTGTTCCGTTGCCTTCTGAAGCCAATGTCCGATAGCGTACTCGAACTGTTGGTACCACAGCAGTGGGCCTAAAGAAGAAAGATATTTAAATCAGAAATAAGTTGTCTCCTTCCTAAAAAACAACAACAAAAAATCTCATAGTTAGTTAGTCTCGGTAACCGGTCCACCTATACCTACATGTCTTTCCTGGAAAACAAACCAGTTACTACTAATGTCTCCAAAGGTGACTGACTGCTTTATCCCACATAATTTCTTGTCGATCTCTTAGTTATTTTGTATGTTTTAAGGTACACCCCATTCTAAGGTTGCCTGGTTTTGATATCTAATTAGTAATTAATTCTTAGTTACCATGCTCAATATTTGAAATGGACTTGTCCATCTTTCAATTTGGACATATTTTAATCCATTCATCATTTTTAGGGATTTTTCAAAAAAAAAGAAAAGAAAAAAGAACTGACCGAATAACAAACAGAGCGGACCATGAATAGACGGCATGGATGTGTGTTGCATGATGGGTTAGAGTCACTAGCCTTTAGTCACTAGGTATGAGTTAATACTACTTCATACGGAAAGCCACGGAATATAGTATGAGGTACCAGTGACCTTTGTGCTTGTAAAATTACTTAAAAAACATATACCGGAGCCGATGGGATGTATACGTCCACAAGCCGCTCCTACTTTCTTATTGGTCTTTAATCTATCAACTAACAGACGCACGGCATCAGGGTGAAAGTCCACGTCGCCATCTAAAGTCAAAATATATGTGTTTTCCGCCTGTTTGAAAAACAAACAAATACAAATGAAATATATCTAAAGTTCGAAAAGAAAACTAAAATAAGATAAGAACAAATTTTGGACTATTGTAGTTATATCGTCGAAATTTTTTTATTTTGTTGTTAAATTTTTAGGTTTACAATATACAAAATGTACATAACCCGAATAATTAAAACAGTATGGTACACTGTTCGCTGACAACCATGAGGCTTAATGTAAAAACAATCAAGTACATGTACAATGTATTTATATTTTGTTGTTCAAGTCAATTTTAGTAGCATTTTATTCGATTAAACGACAGTATTTGGAGTGCTGAAATTAAAATTTTCATGATGGGGTTTGATGGTTCCTTTTTTATCTCTATTATAGTAATTGATAAAAACAATTTATACACATCTTTAGGAAAGTCTTTATCAGAAATTGTATAGATTGAAATAAGAAACATCGACCGTTTTAGGGTTCCATACGATATTCCTAACGTAAATATGGCACAGTCATGCTCTACATCTATATGTGTCATCTATGACGTAGTGTGTTAAATATTTAGCTTTTTACCTGAATATGGACTTCATCTGTTACGTAATTAAAAATAACACTTCTAGTGAAGTGCGCAGCTTTCCGACGCCGGCGAAGTTGAGATTCAGTAAGCCGGACCCTCTTCAATTCTCCGTCGGACCTGAAGCCTTCGATCATGTCCTTCGTAAGCAAATTTTCAGGCTGTGCTAAGATACGGTATCCAAGGAGATAGTACATGTACATCACCTAAAGAAAATGAAAGGTCAATTCATAATAGGTCAAGGTCAAGTTATTATACTGGTTTTCTATTGCTCTTGAGATAGAACTGCGCTGTTGCATTTCAAAATATGTAATTCTTATGCACATGTTTTATTTTAACAACATTAATTACCGTGTATATGTTTTTGAAAAAAGCCTTACTTTTTCATTTGCACCATGTGTTCAGGGGCTTGAATCCTTGACTTAGAATTTATTGAAAAATATATGGCTACAAGGATTTGCAGAAAATAAGTCTGATGATGCAATAAGTTAAATAACCACCTTCAAAAAGCACTTGAGATAAAAATAACTTTTATTTACTGTGAATCGTAATTTTTCGGCACTTTCCGTTAAGCTTCGGATAAGAATTATTGGTTATCGTCGAGGTATTTCGTATAATTTTGAATAATGTAAATACGAAAATTGTCATTACCTGGGACCATCGTTTCTTATGTCTAATTTTATGTTTGTCTTTCAGGTGTGCAATAAGCCGGGTACCACCGGGAAGTCGCCACGTCAGCCGGCCTCCGTAAGGTGTAGGGGTTCTAATGGGTGGACCTAGGGACATCTGACGCTCGTGAACTGAACTGCAAATTGCAAAAGTAGCTTAATCATAAGATTATATTGAAACTTACAAGAATTACTATGCTGTAGCAGGGGTGTGGAAATTTGAACTTCTGCTTCTTGCCCACGGACAAGTCGGGCATAGGATTTACATACCCCTGTTAAATACAGTAGTCAAATGCGCCTGTGTGAATATACATGTATAAGAACATTTGCTTTCGACATTATTCTCGAAAAGTTATTTCCAGTCTTGTCAAAAATCCTAATTAGAGTCCCTTTAAAGTAAGATCTATATCTACATTGTCAAATCATTAAAATATTGGACAGCTAGTTCATCATGCCTGAGTGTTATGACGTCACTTCCTCCTTTAAAACATTTTCCCTTAAAAGTTGTTGATCCTGAAATTATGCATGGAATGGCGGAGGAGATGAGGTTTTTTCCAACAGGTCAGGCTTCTCAAAAGTTAACTGTATTGCTTCAAAACTTTTGAAATCAAATCAAGAATCGCACATACCTTAGAGAATCGTCAATACATTCCAGTAAATCAGCAACAAACATGTTTGGTACTAAAAGGTCATCGTGCGATAGCTCCATCGCATCGTCAAAAAATATGTGCGCTGAAAATACACAATGTATACTTATATACTTATATCGTTAGGATCGAGTAGCTAGGGTAACTTACTAAATAAGTCAATACGTTGCCATTTCACAGCGCCGGATTTCAGCATTGATATTGTTTATTCACTAAAACAGTTCCGATCATTTCCGAATTTTGGTGGTCCCACCTAGGTGTTTGCTCCCACCTATTAATAATTCATGGTGGGGCAGCCGAAGTCGTCTTTAAGGCAAGAACTTGGAAAAATGCCATATAACAATATAACAGCTTCACCGGGCGTATAAAAACACGTGTATATTTTGATTCATATATTTTTAATATATTATTTTTCATTTAACAATCTGATAAATGATTAGATACTGTAAATGTCTTAAAGTTACCTTGGCAACAATGTCGTTAGAACGTGTTCAACGCATCTGTGCACGTCAATCTATATGAGAAGAAAACCTTATCGCAAAATATTCAAACGACAGAAATGGTACAGTTCTAATCAAATGCTATACAGCATAAACTTAAGTGAAAATATTTCATCATAACGAATACCTTCAAACTCGTAGTAGTCGGGATCTCTAGATTTTGTAAAACTTCTGTGCCAAATATCTCCCACTGTGATCTATGTCCATTCTGGAAATCAAAACCGACATTTTATCAATTCAAAGATGTATTTCTTTATACCGTCGTAATGTTTTTTTTTATTTTTGTTTCTTTATGTAATAACTTATTTAAGAAGCATTATAATTTTATCAGAACTATGTTCAAATTGTTGTCAAAAGTTCCATCAGTCTTGAAGTACTGAAAAATATTTTACCGAAATATCGATTTAAGCAGATTCGTCATTTCCGCCCGTGTCTCGTGCCACATTGTTGCGCATGCGTAGATCTGTGGCACAACATCGTCTGCTTTATACTGATCAATTTCCGGGTCGTAGTAATCTTCATCAGTATCAGGAGTTAAGCTCGTGTCATGGTCATTACGTCGGCGCCGTAGAATTAGAGATTGGTCGGCAAATATACTACATCGGATTGGGGTAATAAACAATCTGAAATGTGCAAAAACAATTCATCAAACTTTTTGTCACGGAAATGTTCACATAAGGTAAATGTAGCCAAATAATTATAATAATAATAATAATTACTGGGACACAGAAAGCAGAACGATTTTATTGTATAAAATAATCATAAAAATGTTATAATTCTATAAAAATGTCGATTTTGCAGACATTTAAGGGTAGGCAATATGAAAACTGTTTGTTCAGGGGCAGTAATATGTTCTTGCTACTCATATTGCAAAAAATGGAAAAACTTTTAGACGAAATTTTGTAGATCTAATTAAGCATTTACTTTTGCTATAGATAAGTCCCACATAATTCCATTTAAAATATCTAAGTACGGAACGCCATGACTGTCTTATGTGATCAACATTTTTGCTATCTTGTGAACGATGATATGGCGTTCCATATCTAAGAGTGAAACCATACCTGTCTATTTTCTCCATGCGTCCGTTGCCTGGAAACCAAATATGTGACGTAATATAAAGCTCAGAAAGCCAAAGAACGCCCAACCAAGCCAGGTGTAGAATCCACGTATTGCTTCCGTTTTCGACACCAATCCAAACGAAGGAACCAGTCGGAAGAAATTCATAAATGTTTTGTAACACGACAACAGCGACACTTATTGGAGTTGTCAATGACAACGGAAGTGAAAATCCTATCATTTGCATGCACAGCTTGCACGCGGTGCCCCCGAAATAAGCTAACAACGTACTGGATATAATCTGAATATAAAAGACTCCATACTCTTCAAAATGTTGCATTGTTTCAGGTGAAAAATAGAACATGTTTTGATCAGGATCTGATTTGTTGACATTTGGAGCCCGGGAAGTGACGTCAGTGTAGGCTTCAGTCGTGACCAAAGCGGAAGTCGTTTCCGAAATAAAGTTGATTACGTGTGTCTTGATTGTTGTAGCATTAGGAGCATCACTGTCAACTTCACGTCGAGTGAATCTGGTGTCACGAAATATATTTTGACCTTGGTGTTGTATTGCACGGACAGAACGAGGGGAAATCGTATCATTTTGTTGAGCTGGGTTAGTATAGCTCAGGTTAAAGTTAAATCCAGGTTGTAGCAGAACTGCAAATGCTATTACCCAACAAGCTTTCCAAATACTAGCGAATATGTAAAGGCGTCCTCTAGCGTGATGTAAATGTTTCTTCCAGTTTTTGAAATTCATTGACTTTCCAAATATAGAAAACTCTCCTTCTACGTAATTTTCCCAGTAAGACACAGATATCAATACTAGAGCTATAGGGAGTTCAAACAAAACCTCGTTTCTGAAAAATCCCTTGCCTAAATTCGGTCGTGGAACAATTACTGATAAATCATCTTGTAAAACCGCATTTCGGATACCCATTTTTTCGGATGGCGACATTGAAATTTGAAACATTTCACATAGTACAATGCTTCCTATTTGAATAAGAAACGCTCCAAAATTCAGCACAAATATTGAACACTTTCTTGCTAGGCCTGTGTTAGGGTCTCTACCTTCAAAGATAGTCTTGAGGAATGCTGGCACGGTGTAGATACTTCCGAGAACGATAAAGGCTCTGAGCATATCCAACATTGGTAGCACGCGAAAGACAAGCAGACTCAAACCAAGTGTGTGCAGTAGTTCAATAAAGAGAACCTGAAACAGAATATTTATTTGATATCCACGCAAATATATCAAATGGAGATTTTACGTTTTACAATCTATCTTTTTTAGGGTAAACGTGAAAAATATGTACTGATCGAATAGCAAACAGTGCAGACCATGATCACACAATACAGAATCTACAGCTGCATGCAGGCAAAGGGTTAGTTGCTTCAGTTTAGTCTACAATTCTCTGTAGAACGCACGCACTTACGAGAAATCAAACAACATGCGTCTGTGGGTCAGACGCTTGAAAGCAAAAATCATACCAAGAGTTGTTAGTGTTGTTCTTCAAATTTAAGTTGAAAAATAGTGACAGTGTTTTGTGACATGTGGCTTACATCTAATCCCATTCATGATATTCATTATTCAGATACAATTTACTTTTAATAGCATGAAGTGTTATTTTTTAGAGTCATCAAATACACACAATATATTTAATTTTTCAAATAAAAAAAATGTTCACATTAGAGTAATTAAGATTAAAGCGGCTTTCTGCTCTTTTTTTTTCTTCAGGAAAAACAATTCTGTGGAGTTTCAAAATAAGTAATTCAGCAACTTTATCTTTGACAAGTGCATCATTACACTGTAAGCTTCCTTAAAACGGCGTCAAGGCTCAACAGTGCTATTTATAACGCCAAAGTGGCGTTCGTTTCTAAAAATAGAATGTCCGTCAACCGCCATAGAGAGCGGACCAGTAAATAAGAGTTACCAAGGGGTTTCCATAGTGTTTACGTATTTCATCGGCGGACAATTTCATTTTCCATCTATATACCTTTGATTTTGAAAGATTTATCGAAGGTAACACGTTTAACCTTTAGAAAAATTGAAGGTCGCTTTAATGCGATCTAAAACATACCGATGACAAAAGTGACAGCGACGGCCATGTTGTACTGCCAAAAACAGATTTCCCAGAATACACCAGAAACCAGATGGAGTATGGGAAACAAATACTGATTAGTAACATGGTCTTCACTGGCCATTGAGACTCTGTTAACGGGTCCTGAAATACAAAAAAATGATCATCATAAATGAATCATAAATTATTTAGTTATGTGAACATTCAATCGAATCTTTTCAGCCCTTTTCGTCAGTCTTCGGATATGTTATTATAGATAATAGCCGAGAACATTCCGATTGGTGAATATTAGGTATGTCTCGCTTATGCGACCAGAAAGAAGCAAAAAGATCAAGATTGCTTTCCAGAACATATTCAGATCAGATTATTTACTATTAGCTTTTTAGTTTTCAGAATTTTGAAAATGAAATAATACGAACATTTTTGATAAACTAAGATGGAGTTGTTGACAAGAGTAAAGAAAGAGCATCATTTGTTTAATTGCATGATTGCCGTTCAAGAATTATTAAAATATGAACGAATATTTTATTACTATTAATATTTCCAGTTATTGTGCAGTTACAAAAATAGATCATAATTCAAAACAAAGTGAAATGTGCGTAATTAATATCTAACTTTCCAAGGGAGTTACAGTCGGAGGCGAAAAATAAAATAGATACAAATATAGTTCTGTTACCTTGGTCACGCTTGACGTCATTATAAGAACACAAATTTTGTTGACGACTGCTGACGTAAGAACCATAATCATAATAAAAATATAGCAGACGACTTTAAAGAATTTAAACACAGTTTGAAAGGTGGCGCTGTTGGACACCTGCTCACGTGGCATCATCTGAAACCGGTCCCACCAGCGTCTGTAAAAAAGATGATTGAAAATATGTTTGACAACCTTTTCTAATTTAAATATGCTCACTTATGCAAAACTTTAAACAAATCCGACTAAATGTCAACAGGATTGCATTTTTTACTGTCGGTTTCTATAACCATAATAATAAGTATTTAAATAATGTATTGTTTACCTTTATACATGTATCTATGAAATTACTCATTTTAGGTGGACATTGACTTGATGTTAAAAAAAACTTGTCAACAACTCCCAGCATTAAATTACTACTTGTTTACATGTTTAGTTTCTTAGCGTAGGTTAGACCGAAATACCGTATCCGTTCTGTGTATTCATACTATTGTGTTGTCGAGTTCCTTATCCGAAGACTGACGAAAAGAGCCGAAAAGTTGCGATTGACCTTGGTGTTGCCAAATGGGTCATCCATTTGATTAAAAGAAATATTATCAAAACTAACGAAAATCCTTTAAAATGTGGACATATACCAAACAGTGTATACATGTTACATTAAAATTTGTGTTGGTTTTGGATCTATTTGTCATTCATTACAAAACACAAATAACATTAAAGGACTTACGGATCTAGTGCAATGCTTCCATGGTCTGATTTTGCCTAAAGAAAAATAAGAACCATTAGTGACATTTCATGCCAAATATACTTTAACAATGTATTATCCTATTTTATAACATGCTTTTGGAAAGAAAACTTGGAGAAAAAAGCATGTTGTCGAAGTGTTAAGTTTCGCCATAGTAAATATTTTGATTTACCTTACTTTAATACGTGTAAAGAAGTACAAAATCTCTTACAAAAAAGCTTATGGAAAGGAGTTATTTAAATCTGCAACAAAGAATATAATCAAACGTACCTGATCGATTAATGTGTGCTCCATATTGTCGGCATTTCCGGTGACATTTGCATAATGCGCATTATGTTCCATCCAATCAGAGACCATGCTTCCCGAGTCTGTTTGTTCACCTGGTTCCTGTCCTCTTGCTGACGTCATGATCATTTCTTCACCATTCATCCATTCGTCACCAACTCTCTCATTTCCGGCATGTATATGTTCATCAGCCGTCATATTGAATGGACTTTCACTTACTGTTAAATCCTGATTGTTTGACGCGCGGCTCACGTGATCTTGCTCTAGAGTTTTTCTGGTACTACGACTGCGATCTCCCTCGTTCCTGATTTCCTGTTGGCGCTTTAAATGCCAATTTGAAGCGCCTGTTTGACTCTGATTAACATTCGGAAGTACTTCGTCATACATTTGAGATTCATTCAATTTGGAACCGGAGCAGTTATATTCTTCAGTACACAGAACATCATGTTGAGTTATATAAAGCGGATTATCCACACAATGAAGGCCCGGCTGACGATTTTCATCTATTGCTTCGGCCAACTCTTGTAGATATAGTTCTTGCCAATGTTGAAGAATTACCTTAAAACAGGTAACAAAAGTAAATTGAACCTTTCTGATGTCCTTAAGATGGCATATTGCTTAGATGGTGCAGGGTCTTTCAAATAGCAGTAAATTTTTACCTTGACACCGGGTACGAAAAATTCCTAGCATTATTAGTTTTTACTTTAAAAAGTAACAATTTTATAGATTTGCATTGAAATTAGGAATTTTTCGTACCCGGTGTCAAGGTAAAAAATTACTGCTATTTGAAATTCACTAATTTTTGATCGATTTAAAACATTGTCTTATAATTTGATTTTGAAATGGTGATGTACTATGCCCAGATCATGGTCCGTAAACAACCTAATCTTGGATTCAACCAATTTTAATACAATTGGTCCGACTCCAGACCATTCTATTCGAAAGACCCTTGATGGTGCTAAGATGTCATAAAACCGGATTCCGTATCAAACGACTATGATGCATCTATAGACATTTAACATAAAACTTAAATTACATAGTACATTGAAAATAAATGTACTTTTGTAAAATTTTAAGGCTGTTCAGACATAAATAAACAAAACCTCCCCAAACGCCCTCAAACCCCTATCCCCTGCTAAATAATGTGTACATATCGATGAAATGAAGAAAGATTCTACCTCGCTCTCGTTAACAAGTACGTCTCCCAGACCAGCGTCAGTCAAAACCTGCACGATATTCTCGTGTGTCGGTGAAACAACACTGTTCTTAGAAAATGAGATACCACGGTACCTGTAGTAAAATATATAAGAAAGGGCACTTGTGTTATAGATGCATAATTATTAGAATATTCGTGATATTATGAATAAAAAAGTTGAGTTATTAAAGTACATTAATTGTGTGAGTCAATTTTAATCCAGGCCCCTTCCCATTGGAAATAGCAGAGAAAATAAGTTTTTTTATCTTCAATACTGTGCTCTTCTGTTTTTTTCAAATATCATAATTATTGAAAGTAACGAAGAGCGTCGAAATGTCACGTGCAAAATGTCGTTTGTATTGCCTCAAGGCACGTGACTGATGTTTAGAATGTAATAATAAACATAGAAAAATACATTTAATGTTTGTTCAGAGTGAATAATCATAAGTTACACATGGTAAATGATCATTTTGATACTGTAAAATTAATCTCTGTAAAGCAACACCCTTTGGAAGACAAATTATGGTGGTTGCTGAGGGACGTTAAATCTTATTGCCTAAGTCAGTCTTACTTTAAGAAAAAATGATATTGTTAGCATATGATTGCTTAACAGAGGGCTGTTATGCAAAGGTTGTACTTTTCATTGATGTCTAAGTAAAAAAAACTTAGTCTAGTGATTTCTTTTCATTACTTTAAAGGCACTTGGATATTTATGTTTCTTCATCGGACTTTGAGTCGCCTGTCCGCTGTCCTTGACCAATTTTCAATTATATAATTGATTATATAAAGAAATGGGATGAACATTCCGAGATAACATAATCGACATTTTTCATTTGTGAAGAGAAAAATATTTATGAAAATAATATATTTCATCTTTCATTGCACGTATAGTTTCTTTAGTAAAGGCATTAAAATGTCCATTCTTTTATTTATCGTTTTCTGTCAACGACAAATTATCCTAGACCCATTGATTACACTTTTAAAAGTAGGATTAATTCAATCCTCAGAAATGAATAAAATTTTATAGATGTAATTTTTCATATCCGGGCCTTACCTTTCTATAAAGTCAGCTATTGACACGTGACGTGTTAATGACCTTATATTATCATTAGCCTCACCATCATCATCCCGTGCAGTGCTTCCAATAGCAGACGACATCTACATGTATATTATCTGACACAAAGAGCAAAGTTATAATAGACGCAAAACATATCTCGTCTGTTTCCAGGCCTCGTCTTAATATATAGGCTTGGAGCTATAGGTTATTCTTTCCTTTTTAGCGCAAGGATACGCAAAATGTTCTTTAATAATATATACCTATTATGTCTCTCTGTTTCATATCTGTGAAATATACAGGCTTGTCGGTTTAGGTTATTCGTCTCTTTTCAATATCGCAAGGAAAATGGTGCCTTACTTAGGTTCACTGGGGCGTCCGTGGCCGAGTGGTTACGGTTGTTGATGTCAAACCACTTGCCTCTCACCGCTGTGGGTTCGATTCCCGACAGAAGCTTTGGATTCTTTCATGTGATGAAGCTATCCAGCTAGCTTACGGAACGCCGATGGTTCTACTCAGGTGCCCGTTCGTGCCTGAAATAATGCACGGAAGGGCACCTGAGGTATTCCTCTACAAGTAAAGCTGGAACGTCGCCATATGACCTATTCTGTGTCGGTGTGACGTAAAACCCAATTAAACAAACAACAGTTTCTCAACAACTCTAAAACGGAAGTGTCGGAAGAGCCACATTGTAGAATGTGAAAGAGATTTATATACGTTTGTGCTCGGCCTGTCTCTATACCGGAAAAAAAGCCATATTATTTTCAATTATTAATTTGCTATACACATTTTGTTAGCTTCGGATTTTGAATTTTCCGAATGTTCTCTATACAAAATCAGGCAGCACTGTACATGTTAAATTCTACAACTTAAAGTTTAGTTTGTGCCTGAAATAGGGCATCTGAGGTCTTCCTCCACCAGTAAAGCTGGAACGTCGCGATATGACCTATACTGTGTCGATGTGACGTAAAACCCAAAACAAACAAACAAAACTTAAATTTTAGAAGAAAGGTTCTTTTACTGTTAACGTTTCATAATAAAAGGCAGAAAGTTCAAGAACGTTAGCCGTCCTACATATATATGCACTAGTTTGAATTTAGATATAATGTAATTATTTAATGGTGTTTTTGATATATCTTTAAAAATTATTATAATATATGTATCTAAAAGCTAACTAAAAGTTAATACTTGTAATATTGCTTTAGAGAAGCAACTTATTATACATTGATGATACGTACAGTTATTTGAGTAATTCCACAAAGTTTCGCTCAGAGTGTGCTCCTGTTTTCATCATCAGTAAAATCCAGACACTTTTTTACACCATATTTTCTATCAGGCTTGAAAAATTTACAATTTCTTAACTTAGAAGAAAAATGATATAAAAAGCCATGACTCGTCCGAAATTTGACTTTTGATGATTGCCTTTTTGCGGACACATAGGTCCTGGAGCGGTTTTAGTGAAACATAAACGGTAACTGATACGGGTCTAATATTTCCACAACATTGCCGCTGACCAATAAAGGCACGGCGGACGGCTTGCCGTAAGGTAACGTTCACGATATTATCTATGATAACGCATACCGACAAGACTGGGCGTTTTAGATGAAAGACACCGATAAACCGGTGTGAGCCAATAAACAACTTGTCATTAAAGCAGAGTACAAATGATATAAAATCATTACAATTGTTGAATGTCAGGTTATTTATAGTTTTGATAATTATGTATTCAAACATACATAAAAATATGTCGTTGTTAAAATGACTTTACCATGTCCCAAATAAAGTTGAAAAACGCGTTCTTTTCTAGTAAATTTATTGGAATATAATGTATATTGTTTGATATGTACATCGAAATATTTTGGGGTTTTTTTTCAAATAGAATGAGCCTGAAATATACCGCAGACAAATAACGACATTGCCAAGCAATAGCGCCAAACGAGAAAATAATGCGATTCTTCTGTTTGATTCTTATCTGGTTGGTAGGATGGGGGTATTTTTCATGTGTATTTGTTTTCCTACCAAAACAACCTCCTCTTTTACATTAAGCTTACATGAGAATTCTAATTCCAGTGTATCAATGTATTTATTGCAGTTAGAGAGTTATAGATGTACGGTCATAGTTTGGCACGATTATTTCGTGCTCACTGAACTTTAAGTGAAATCATGTACTTAATTGGCAGGCGGATAGATACATGTACGCCACTCGAGGACTTCGCATTGTTTTATACAGGTCGTATTGCATACCCACCCGTCCCTTTCACCGTTGTCAGTCTCTAGGACAATTCGTTGTGACATAAAATAGCTATTATTTTATTTACTCATATCAAGATGAACCAAATGTTAGAATATAACTGCAGTCAGTTAATTAGGAAAAGCATGTTTTACCTTGGTTGGCAGTAAAGCTATCCGCAGATATCGACACGTTAATAATCAAAATTTTAGTTTATTTTACAGGCTCTTTCAAGATTATAAGTTCAGAGTTTCAGCTTCTGAAAAGTGTTATATCTTTTATTGATGAGTATTTAACGATATTGATACAGTGCAAAGGCCTCCATCCTATGTCAGTGATGTTTATTCTATCACAGACTAAAGTACTTGGTGATAATTCATTTAATTTCGTTTAAGCGAAGGGAATTAGAATATAAGTAATACTATGCATATTCTGAATGCAAAGTAAATTAAGCTTCGCCCAAAGGAAAAAAAACCAGCGGCTCTTGGATACTGGTTTTATGCTTATGTCTTCATAGGGGAAGAATAATCACAGTGACGTGTAATTTGTGTAGATGTTTTATTATAGGCGAATAATAATCAAAAGTTATCACATATCGAGAGGTAAAATAGAATCAGCACGAAGTGCACGGAATTATCGCAGAAATAATTTGACAAAAAGAGCTCTGCACGTGAAAAAAACATTTGGCACGCACTATACTACTTGTGCATTTCACAAACAAAGGCACATGTTTTGAAATATAAAAGTTTGTTAACAATAAACATAGTTTTAACAAAATATTTTATATATTAAACATCTCATTCAATAACGCCTTGTCATGGTTTTAAAATATAAATATATATAACTTTTAACGTATAAACTTAAAAGGTAACAAAATGAAACACAATAACAAAGAAAAAAGCAAAATATAACATTCAAACATTCAACTTAACAACTTGCGAATGAAGTGTGAAATAAACAAAGCATACACTTGGACATGAAAATAAATTTTGCATTTAAGTCGTAAAACTTTTGCCACTGCCATTTTTATGCGCCATTTTCCTATTATTATCGCCGCTTTAGATGAGAACACGTGATCAGACAGACAAATTGCAAATAAATCTCAGATTCAGTATCCTTGACAAGTTTTTGACGGTTGTTTTGCATTTATAAAATCTGATTTTCATTCAATTCAGCAAACAGTAAGTAAAACATTAAATATTAAGACTGCATCAGGTATCCCATCATAAGACAATACACAGAAACAGTGTATAGTTAGATCGTCAAAGAAATACGGGTACAGTACTGTACGATTAAAGGCATATACACACAACCCGTGCAATTTTCACACGAAGTATCACATACTGAGCCCGATTCTTAACGAATTCAACATCACCTATAATGATGTTGCTACATATTCAACCTTAATGAGCAAAACTTTCTAAATTTAGGAACGATGACGTAAATCATGACTATGACATCCTATATTTTCTATAAAATAGTAAACGATTGCACTGTTGTCAAGAAGAACAAAGTTTTGCATTTGATTGACAATCATTTACCCTATAAAACAGTATAACTCTATTAAACCTATAACCCTTTTATTCCTATATAACCCTTTAATCCATCGAGTATTTCTAAAACCCAGTAATGAAGATTTCATTCACATCAACTGTTCACCGGAAGTTCTTGGGAAGTTTTACTTTGCGATAAATGTTGAGCTAGCGCCTTTTCATATTTTTCCCGCGCCCATTTTGACTCCAGCAGACGAGATGCGCGTTCCATAAACGCGCTATGAGCCGGTCGGTGTCGAACACGAAATCGCTGAAAATATATAAATAAAAACAACATGAAATTTGGTGTTACAATATGTTTACTATTTATCACAATATATTCAGTATTTGATTTATCATTTAAGATTGTTGGCTCTGGTGTTCAATTCCATATCGCAGAATGCCAATATAAAGATAATGTATAACTACAAACACTAAAATGTACTATACAAATAAATAATATTGGCTAAGCACTGGTCTGGTGACTCTAAAAATTTCGTAATGTATTAAATATCATATCAAAAGATAATTTGAGGAAATCAGCATGTGTAAGTACATACCTATGCATTATGCTGTTCACACGGTCAAAGAAGAGGTACAAAGGTTTTGGTCAATTAAAAGGTCAACTTTTTTTTCTTTATTGTTTTGTACAGTGAAAATAGTTGGCTATGACAAATCTTTAGTGACAAAATTCGTCGCATCCAATTACAAAATGGCTATTTTCTCACTACTAAACGCATATTCGGAACATCTCGGCTTTTATAAATCATCCAAGGGCTTTAGAATTCCAAATGCTTTTATTTTCTACATGTAGTTGGCCTATTTCCCGTATATATTCATTAACCGAATTTCGAGACCCAGAAATGCAATTGGCACAAATGAAATGGAACTCTTTTATTTGTAGAGATGACAGTTTACTTATTATTCACTTTTAAATTGAGTTGAATTAGTAATATATTTCAAAACTTTGACTATTGTAATAGTGGAAGACCAGAAATTGATAAATTGAAAATTTTAATGATACAATATAAAAACAACTGTAACTATAAAAAAGACTGCCCCACTCTTTCTATAAGCATTGAACATTTACCGATATTTAGAATTATCCGTTGGCCACGTAGATTTATTGATTCTTCTTCTTTTTCTTCTTTTTTTTCATAGTTGAAGTATAAAATTGACCACACTAATGGCAAAATATCAAGTTATTTTTTCATTTTTACCAATTCACTGTCCATTTATACTTGGATGGACATAATGTCACTTTAATGTAGGAAAACAAATAGTATTATAGACATAATTTCTCCACTTTTGTCATCAGAAATTTGAGAACATATGAGCCACGTCACGACAAAACCGACATAATGGGTTTGCGACCAGCATGGATCCAGACCAGCCTGCGCATCCGCACAGTCTGATCAGGATCCATGCTGTTCGCAATCAGTTTCTTGACTTGTTATAGGGTCTGTAAGCGAACAGCATGGATCCTGATCAGACTGCTCGGATGCGCAGGCTGGTCTAGATCCATGCTGGTCGCAAACCCATTATGTTGGTTTTGTCGTGACGCGGCTCATATAATCTCTGTTATGATAAATAACACCGACTTTATACTTACCGTATATTGTTCATTCTTAACGGGCCAAGGCCCTTTATCGAACAACAAATGGCACTCATGCAAAGGCGGTGGGGAGAGGGGTGGGGCCATTTGTAATCCACGAATGTTTCGATCCGTAGCTTTGTCCATACGTTCTCCATGTACTGGAATAAAGTAAAAAACAGAAAACGTCAAATAAAGATGTACATAATGGAATTTACTTATAAACCATGAAGAAAACGTAGCAGAACACTTCATGTATAACAATATGCTTTTAACTGCATCGGAACAAACATGGTTAAACAAAAAAATGCTTTTTTTTTAGAAATATTTGACCCGTTCTGATCAGTATTTCACTGCTGAACATATAAAAGAATTCAATCTTATTCCAGGTAATTTTTAACACGAAAGTGCAATAAGGTCAATGTCCATTGAATAACTCAAACCATAACACACGTTTAAAAAAAACCTGACGGTGTCTTTACTTATCCTAAATAATGACTTTTACTTTTAATATTTACCACCAAGTTCAAAATTGGACTTCCCTAACAATACGAATGTCATTATTGCTTGATTAAAAAAATGTCTAAGATTGATGGTCAGTCGCGAAAATAAACTAGGAACACTAAATAAATATCAACAAATTATTTTTAATGAGAAAAAAAATCATCACTTTAAGACTCGTTATTTACGTCAAAGTGAGTTAACTAAATCTATTTGCACCACAATCCCCTTTTTAACATTCAAATTATTGCATTGTATGAGAAACACAAACAGCTAAACCCCCATTAAATTGAGCTGCGCCATGACAAAACCAACATATAGTGCGTGTGCGACCAGCATGGATCCAGACCAGCCTGCGCATCCTAGCAGTCTGATCAGGATCCATGCTGTTCGCTTACAAACACTATTACAAATAGAGAAACTGATAGCGAACAGCATGGATCGTGATCAGACTGCGCGGACGCGCAGGCTGGTCTGGATCCATGCTGGTCGCAAACCCATTATGTTGGTTTTGTCATGACACGGCTCAATTATTCATCCAGGAATCTTGCACCACATCACAAGCGTCACACAGCACGTCATATTAAATAGCTGACGTTAGCATTTTATACATAAAACGAAAAGCATACATTTAGTGGTCAAAAAGAGACCTTTTTAATACATTTTGTAATTCACCGTGGTATATGGTTCACTTTACGATATTTTGAGTGACATTGTATTATTCCAACCGGTGCCAACGTGTCAACAAAATTTGTATATCCGGTGGCCACTTGTCTACAAGAATTGTGTTAGAATAACATTTACCAGTACCAAAATGATTATCTTATATCAAACATACCTATATACTACAGCATATCACGGGATCAACTGATTTAGACGAGTCGGGCAAGAAGTCTGAATGGCTGAGGGGGTGCTAGGGACCAAATTAACGCGATATTGAAGATCTATAGACATGCATTCTATAGCTATGTCAAAAAAAGAAAAATTGCCTTTTTGTCATGGTAGTAAAAAAATATATTATCGGTGAAAGGTATATTTTGATTATGAATGGCTTCTCAACTATTGTACCTATCGAAATACGTTAACATGTATATCATGTAAGAGTATTTGTAGACAAACAGGCCGCAAAAAGACATGATTATGGGATGACACGACCTGTAAGAATGCTAATGGAAACATAGCGGCATACATACTTAAGCAAAGCTAAGCGCATTCACATCAATCACATGACAGTCACATGGCTGATTGATCAGGGGGAACAATCACGAATATAATAATATAATATTTTACTAGGACGAGTTCTCTCCCTTCTTTCAACAAGTTGACGTACACCGTGTAAATTATTGTTAAAATCGGCTAAGTTGATCTAAGCTGATATGATACTAACATTAATTTTATAATTTGATATTTTAGAATACATATATTTGACCAGTCCTACGTTACTACAACTAGTTTTTTTTGTTATCATAACTCAGTCATGAAATTATGAATTGTTAGTAATACACGTGCCTAATGCATTAGAAAAAAATGAGGCCCGAATCCCAAATGATTTTTATTAAATCTACATGTGCCTTTAATGATGCATGTTTCCGGTGAAAACTAACCTTGATCTAGGAGGTACTCGTACACTGTGTGTGTCATAAATCAAACATAAGTATGTGACTTTTGTATTCTTGCATTTTGACGAATTTAGAAATAGTACAATAACAATTCAATACAAATGCTAAATAGAATTATAGCATAAAAAAGATAACAAGTGCTTTATACTGCGTAGAGACACAAATGTATTTTTTTCTATAAGATACTATCTATATGCCAAATTCCTGGTTATATATAACGTTAGCATCGGTCAAGCGCACGTCCCACATAGGTAGGCCTACTGCACACCGCATTATCCTTTTAGGTCTCCGAAAAAAACATTTAGCCCACAACATCCATAATACACTTATACAACACCCGTTTACTTTAAATCTTAATGTGAAAGGAAATATATGATATTGGAACAATTTTTACTCAGAGTTGCCGTTCTTTACCTTGTGCTTAATTGAATTGCAAGGTACGACAACTCTGAGTAAATATTGCATGGTATTTCACCATACCAAAATCAGACGGCATTCACCCTTTACCCCGCGGTACCTATCAAATGTATGTACATTGTTGTATATGTTTTTAAAATAACTTACTTATATTGAGTCTGTCCGTGTGGAACTTAAGGTTGAATGGATCTTTGTCGGTTTTCTGCATAAACTCCGGAAGTCCAAGAGTTTTCAAGGGAGGGTACTGCGAAGTAAGATAAACAAAGTTATTTATAGATGAATATCCAAAACATTTAGATGTTATAACATCAATTTAGTATCGCCATAGTTATTTTTCGAGCATACAAAGCAATATGTTCATATGTCTGACAGAAAAAAAGTGTAAAAAAAAATTTATGCTTGCAAAGGGAGGTTATCAAATTAACTTATCATCAACATTCTCAGATTCCCTACAGTAGCAATTATTGGTTTAAACAGTAGACCTCAAAGCGCTGTTGAAATAATTTATAAAAGTCTTTTAATAAAAAAGATCATTACAAAAGTAGTTTTCGACGCATTGAATTATCAAATTGACATGGACAATACATAGGTGTTCGGCGCGTTGATTGGTCACTACCCCCGGTCCCACCCCCTCACCCACTTTACAACCATCCTACCTCTCAAAACCATGTAAACTGCAGTATTTTTCATTTTAAACATGTTTTAATATTTGGTATATGCTTTTAATTCAATTTCCTTCATTTCCCACAAAAAATAAAAAAATGATACATAAATATTTATATGGGGCCCGGGGGTAGTGACCAATCAACTTAAGCATAGAGTGAGATTGAACATATAAGTCATACCCCTCTGAAGTCGTGTGGAGATGGATTATTATATTCCCCTGGTTCGTTCATTCCTTCGCGTACAAATTTCTTCTTTGCTGTAAATGGTCTATCAATGTGAAAATAAGTCACTAAACCTTTGTCCTCTTTAGTTTTTGATTGTAACAAATGTGGAATCACTTTTGGTCGTTCTCGTTTAATTATCTCCCTTTGTCCCGGTATAGTACCGTATAACCAGGGCATTTGAGAGTCTTGTGTATTCCGTTTGGGAGGTTTGGGGGCGAAAACTTGGGGTCTAAAATCAGGTGGAGGGCGTTTCCAAATATTTTCCTCCTTGACGGGGATATTTTTAGCGAAATTGTCACTACGAATTTGAATTAAAGATTCGTTAGCATCATAATTCGTCTTTGAATGGAATCCGAATGGTACCATTCCGACAGATGACGAACTTCCGGTCGGACTGGGCGACGAAAAGTCCAAAAAGTCAATCTGGCTCATCTGAAATGGAAACAAATCAATATTAGGCTCGAAAGTACTAAATGTACTAAATATTTTATACTCAAAAGATTTACATTGTGAACCATTAAATATGGACAAATATATAGATACTTTTGTCTGGTGTGATGTATTTGAAATTCCAAATTGAAAATATATTTTTAGGTCTTGCAAGTAACAAATATAGTCCGCCGAACCCCACTATTCACATACCCCGCCAAACCTAGAAAAAAGGAAGGAAAAGAGAAGGAACGTGTCTCCTTTAATTAATAGGGGAGATTTTTCTTCATCTTCTTTTCTTTTATTTTCCCTACTTTAACCTGTACTAGTTGCCTTTACTTTTGAAAGAAACTGATAACTCCTGTACATACCAAGACAGAGGTGCATTGCAAATGACCGTAGAAGGATTTCATGATCGATCAGTCATAACGAATCGAAACCTGGTCGTCCGATTTACAGTCCAACTCTCTACCTATTGCGCTAACCGGGCGGTTTTTATTTTTCCTAATAAAAGAGGTTTTCTGTCTTATAAAATCAATATAAAGATTCTTACCTAGAGGTTCGGATTATATATGATAACAACAGTTTATATAGAGCCATATAACCCTCCAAAATCTTTATAACTAATATCATAATTATAATAATTCTTACATATGTATTACTCTAATGCATAAAAGATTTACTGTTTTATTGTACCCAACATACTTAGATATGGAAATAAAATTGGTTGGTTAATAAGTTCATCAGTCCCGCAATTTGCTAATTACAGATTTCCAGTCCTAGGTCACATGTGAAACATTTATTTCATTTATTCCTGAACATTGACAAATACAAACATTGATTTATAGAAATAATTAAGCTATTATGGCACAACGTATTTGTTTTTCATGGTAAAATTCAATCGTTTATAAGCTACGGCATAATTTCACACTGATAAAACTAAAAACTGATTACTGGTTAATGGTGAACAAGTCTAAAAGGTTTTAAATAACGATTTAACCATATATCCTTTAAGATCAAGTTAAACCTATTTGTAAAATAGTACATTTTTCTTTGATCCCCTGTCAATAATACGGGGTATTGGTTTGGCTTAAGTTATAGAAAGCGTAGAATTTCTGACTTAAAGATTTTTAAGATCGATTTCGATTTGAAGATTCTTCGTCTGATAAACTCCCGGCAGTGGCTGGCTTCAAGAAAGCGTTTTATTCTAACTTTACGATCGTCTCGCGCTCCAGATTTTAAGATCGTTATTTTGATAACACTCAGTCTAATAAAAGTCATTTTATTTGGTATTCAAAACTTCATCGATCATAATTGAAATGTAGATTTGTATATGAAATTTCCCCCACTGAAGTGTTAAACAAATAATCTAATGTAAAGATAAAAGCATAAAAACAGCAGGTGGCATAATCTTCCCCTGTCGCATACATGACAAATATGTAAATAGGGAATGAAATTCAGTGCAAAAAAATCATGTGAATAAATATTAACACCTTTTGATAATAAGATAAATGGGTATAGCACGTGCATTTTCATGACATTTCTTAAAAAAAATGGAAATATTTTTATATCATGGTTTAAACTAAATTAAAAAGAGTGCTTTATTTTTTAAATGAAAAAAATCATTAAACCACATTTATTTTATCAAATAGAGGATATTGAATGAGTGTAAGTTTAATACTGAATTTCTTGAGCGAGTTGAATTAAATCATATTATGCGAGCCTCTGGCGAGCATAAAATTATTTTATCCAACAAATTTAATAAACTTAGTAATGAACTTACACGAATTTAATATTCTATTTATCACATACCAAAAATATGGATCGTTTGAAGTGAAAAAGAATCATTTTTCATTGACGCGCAGTTAGAATAATGCTAAAGATAAACGCGTCTTAACGCTATGTGTATATAACGCAAAAGATGTCACGTCAAAATATTAACAATATAATGTTAACAGAGTCGCAAAATTTGACACGAGTATGTGATAAAATGTATAATTCGTTCTGAATACTGATTTAAGAAAACATGAAAAAGAAAGGCTTATGGAAAAAAATATTATTTATAAATTATGTGAAACATTTATTTCTCATTTTCAAATTCTCTTTAGAAAAAAGTGCAGAAAAATATCTAAAAAAGACGAAAACTTCGAATTTCATCGAACACGAATAAATTGAAAACTGTTGCAGGTTCGATTTGTTTGTACAGAGTCAAGTTTTATATGATTTAAATTTGAGTTATTTGAGTTATGTTATTATTGAATATTAAAATCATTTAATCGTCGTTTGACAATACTTTAAAAGTACAATGTCAATATCATTGAATATGCTTTAAACATTAGATAAAACTTGACAAGTGTGTACAAATAGTCTGGCTTTTTATTGACATAAGTCATTTGCCATACTATTCGAACTGATAAAAGCGCGATCAAGTTAAATGAGAAAATGGGCACCTTTCAACTGAAATATTATATATGAATAATTGATTGTGAATACTAGCTGTCAATGGTATAGATATTGTATAGTTTGGTCGGTAAAAAAAACCCCACAACAACCGTCAATGTTGGGTAACCGAGCGCATCTGGTTAAAGCTAAAAGAAAGGAAAGCTCTGGACAAAACGGATTCAAGAGTAACTCTATCGGAAGAATTTTAGTTTATTTGAGATAACGCTTAAAACAAAGTGTTATCATTGAAACACAACTATCAAATTAACGTGAATGTGCCTGTATTTATATTTCTTTATGCACTATGCAGATGATACTACAGTACAAAGAACCGAATGATTCCGACTAAGACACTATAAATAACCTAAGACGCGTCGCATTTAGAGAACAAAACACATTCATTTCGGTTATTATAAAATATACGAGCATACAGTACCTTATCAAGTTACATAACTTTTGAGATACTTATGATGATTATCTATAACATTTTTTATTGTTGTTTACAGACATAATGATTACATTATTTGACCTGAATTTATTCGTATAAAAGTTTAACGAAAGTAACATGCTCACAATTTCTTTTGTACGTTTGTCAGACAGACTTGCCATATAATGTTATTTGTTGTAATAAATTATTCCGGGAACCTTGTGTCTCTGATAACCCGTTGGTGATTTTTGTCAAACAACGAAATAAATAGATTAAGATAACAGAATACCACATCGGACACCACTATGAATATAACAGTCAAAAGTTAAAAAAAGAAAGGGGGAAAAAAAAAGAAAAAAAAAAGAAACACTATGAAAAACAATCTCTAAATTATCAAACTTATCATAGCGTTGTTATATTAAAGGTAATAAGGGTCTAAAGCTAGACAAACACGGGTTACAAAATTACCATAAATACGTGTATTTATAGTAATATATACATTATGCAATATCTTTATATAAATATACATGATAGTTAAACAATTACTACATGTACTTTACTGCAAATAATATATTGTTGTCTAAAGAAACCAGACATTTACATATTTCGAGTATCCTATTGTATTCTTAAGGGTATTTAATCAAGGGTGTAAATTAAACTGCAATTCATTCATATAACATGGATAAAAACAAATGCTTAACAATCTACAATATGTATTGATCGTTAAAACAAAAGAAAATTATACTATCTAAGTCATCTATGATCTATCAATCAATTATGTGTATACTATGTACACGCTTCTATAGTAGTCTCTTTAAATTGTATAAGTAAAATAAATTCATACCTTTGCTATATATTCAATCTACTCCAATTTAAATTTTAGAACCATGTTTGATACCGTATTTCCACTTTAAGTTTCAATTTTTATTGCAAAATTGTAACAAAACAATTGTTGAAAGTATAGGTGTTAAAGTTAATCCTTTTATTCTAAATAATACAAAGTAAATAGTTGCTAAGTTTAATGCGCACGCGCAAATGTTTAAATTTCCATTTAAGAGTATCCGGTAGCATTGGTCTATTCAAATGCTATTTATACTGTAATCTTTTTTAACTCTTGTTGAAAAGATTATTTTTGAAAAGGTTTACTGCGGTATGACAGACTATGTAATTAAAGCTTTTATGAATTACCGATAGTTTTAAAGTAGCGCTAAAGTAAAATATCGACAAATGTTCCTTATACAGCGTTTTGTAATCTATAGATTTCGATTTATTCTTTGATATTTTTTTTTTAAAGAAAATAAGAAAACTGATAATGGAAACGGATGCAATTATTTCTATTAACAATTGAAGGAAATGAATGAATAAAGGAATTATCGAACAAAATATAATGAATGAATGAATGAATGAATGAGTGAGTGAGTGAGTGAGTGACTGAGTGAGTGAGTGAGTGAGTGAGTGAATGAGTGAGTGAGTGAGTGAGCGAGTGAGTGAGTTGGTGAGTGAGTGAGTGAATGAATGAATGAATGAATGAATGAGTAACTGAATGAATTCACGAAAAAACAAAGGAAAGAACGCACAAACGAATGAATAAATGATGGAAGGAAAGAACGAAGGAATAAATGAAGGAAGGAAGGAAGGAACAAGTTAACGAACGAACAACATGTACATGTCCTACAGTATGGACGTTATGGTGTTATACAAGCTTGTTCTAGATATAGTAAACGGGTGCTGGATAGTTGTTTGTTAATGATGATCAAGGGGAGATTATTTTATGATTTTTTTTTTTTTTTTTTTTTTTATTTATAAACAAAAACTCATGGTCCTTAATTAATGGCATAAGAGTGAACAAACAAACAATACAACAAATAATAATACAAACATGGCATATAGATCTCGAAGGAATTAAGTAAATAAGGAAGATGAATAAGTGAATTTTTCAAAATTATTGCTTTAACAAACATTGCTAGCATAAAAAAGGTTGGAAATTTAAAATACTAGGAAACCGTGATGTGTCTTTCATGATTAAAATTACAACATTTAAAAATACAGTGAAATTCACCTATTTCTTGCTTGTTACAAAGTTTTATTTTTTCTCTCAATACCAAAAAAAACGACCTTTCTCAATTGAGACAAGAGTAATTGCTAGATATAATATTACTTGGTAAACATAGTATTTAAATAATGTTCTAATTTAAATTGAGTTTTATATATTCTATAATTTAAACACTTAGCAGAATTGAAAACATCAATTTATTCCATATTTGTAAAAACTGATCACGTAATCGTGATTTTAATTACATGTTTAAATTTTTAAAATTTGTAACATTATGAGTTATCCAAATAATTTAACCATTATGGGCAAGACAAATGTGAACAAATTCTGCCACCGAAGAAAACATTTTAAAATTGCCGTGTTCCATTTCCAAATGTTTAGTTTTATGATAACTTATAAATTTGGACTTCTTCAAATCGAGTCTAATTTTATTATTCATTTTTACAAGAAAGATAACTCTGTCAGCAACAACAACCAATCTCCTACGCATTGATCTCCCCTTATCAACGAGACCAATCTACCAAGGGAGGTAATCACTGTGAGAAGTTTGAACAACAACAACAACAACAACAACAACAACAACGAAACGAAAGATTTAAACACTTATTTTTCTATTGTGTTACGTAAGTTTACAGAAATAAAGTAACAAATAAATGTTTAATTGTGGATAACCAACTACAATATGTGTCACAAATATTAGGTTCATATTTGATCTTAACACAATGGAAACAGTGTTTGTTATATATTTTCGCGACTAAAAACTAAATAAGTTGTGTATAAATTATCAAGATTGTGGTCATTTTGAGGGTATTTTCGATTGTTTTAAAAAGCACTCGGTACAATAACTGTGAATTGATATTAAAGTAATTTATCAATATTTGTAAATAACATGTCAAATCACAGATAATTGTCGGCTAGACCACTGGCTGTCACTCCTGAGGTGACGTGTGAGGTCCCGGGTTCGATTCTGGGTAACACCCTTGGGATTTTTCAGATACACTTTCAGTGATTAACATGTAACTAGAGGTGTACTGATAAGAATTTCAGGTAATCCACGCATGTATCAGTGCTATACACTGGGTACCCTAATTAATTTGGAGTGAACGGTTTGACCCATTTTACAGACTTTTTTTTCCTACTGTCAAACCGTTACAAGACAGCGCCCGTCCAAAATTATCTAGTTGTCTCTTGGACAAGTTTAATTAGTTGGACTATACACTGGGCATGTCAAAGAACCAAGTGGTCTTTTCATTAAGATCTAGGGACTGGTTCCCGGATTTCCTTGTATCTCATACATGTAGCTTTCTCTGAAGTGACTAGTCTAGAGTCATGTCTATATCCCCACTAGGGTTTGACATTAATGGAAGATAGACAGATAGATAGAATTGTGCATCATCCATGTAAACAAAATATAGATCTATCTTTCAGTTCACCAATGTTTAAAGTTAATTAAAAGAAGTTGAATAAGTTAAATAAAACTAACAGAACAAAAATTAACTTGTTAATCAAGGACTGGATAAACATTGTTATTTGTTTTAGAGGTGTCATTCGGCACATCATTTCCATGCACCATTTCTGTTTTCAATCAGAACACCTTAATGATTTCTTCAGATGAAAAATTGATTGTTCCATTATTGGAGGCCCAGTAATCATTAAATTACATTCAAAATGGCGGTGCCCATGAATGACAATTGACACTTAAAATTTTATTGACTTGCAGATTTGAAGATGAATTAAGAAGAGTATGTTTGGACAGTTGGTAATAGGGCCCCCGGGGTCAGGGAAAACAACATATTGTGCAGGAATGGTTCAGTTTCTGTCCAGATTTGAAAGACAGGTATTTAAGAAATGATTTAATTGTAGTCTACAATTTCAAATTTAACTTTTTAAGATATTTAGACTGGTAAAGGCAGTGTTGCATCTAGGCCGAGTAATTGCGTGAATTGCGCATATTTTATGCAGATCGCCCATTTTAATGAAATCAATGCGCGCCAATTCGCGCATTTAAAGATCTTTTCAACTTAATTCAGTTTATCTTCATTGTACAGTCAAACGTGTATTAAGCGACTGGGCAAGGGAAACACCAAAAACGGTCGCTTAATGAAACGGTCTCTTAAGACAGTCAGCATGATATAAAAGTCAAAATTTATAAATGACATCTTTTTTATTCGATGGGATTGTTTTTCAACTTCTTTTTTATATAAATGTTGAATAATAAGTACGCTTCGATAATCTAAACGGATGCAAATGTAAAAATAACGTTCTGATATTTATTGACAAAACAGTTTTGATCCATTACGTACATGTTTGACATTTTTTCCAGAATTTTTTAACTTCTCCGTTGTTTTTCCTTGTCTCCAACACGAAAACCATAATAGTGAAAATGTTTTCTGTTGTGTATTTTTCATTTGAAATAAACAAACTACATCTATTTGTTACGATTAATTTAATGGCTGATCAAGTTCAAGGTCAATTCAATGCAGTCTAAATGTCAACAAGCGAAGCGTATACACCATCTAAGTATTGGCGGAGCGTTGCATTGTTTATCCGATATTATTGGATAATACACGTCACGCGTATACTTAACTTCATTTGCATACGCTAAAACGGTATAGGAAATAGAGTTTTTCACACGTTTATTGTTGTGTTTTGATTGCTGACACTTGTGACATAACGAGGTGGCGTTCTCTAAAAACACAATTACTTGACAGGTAAAAGTGGTCGTTTAATGAAAAGATTGATGTCAATAAGGTGACTAATTAGCGGTCGCTGGTCGCGTTGAGCAAAAGTCGCTTAATACATTAAAGATATAGAGAGAAAATGATCGGGGGGAATTTAAAGTGGTCGTTTAAGACAAAAGTCGCTTAATACACGTGGTCGCATGGGCAAGTTAGACTGTATCTTCAAGACTTCAGCCTTGTTTGAATACACTCGGGGTAATGACTCAAATTGAAATATGTACTAAATTGCGTGAAGCAGTCGACTAGGTCATCTCACGTGTGTATTGTAGTATTCGTCAATATTTTCTTTTTTCTATTTTGATTTTAGGGGTCTCTAGGGCTAAAAATAGAAAAACCTTTGAACATCTTCTTCTACAGAACTAATGGATGGATGATCACCAAACTTTGTCTGTAGCATTTTTGGATACTCTTTTATCAAGTTTGCTTATATTAATTTGATTAGCCACTTTTAGGGGCCACTAAAGCTAAAAATAGAAAAACCTTCGAACATCTTTTCCTACTGAAATAATTGATAGATGATCACCAAACTTTGTAGCATTCTTAGGTAGTCTTTTATCAAGTTTGCTCATATTAGTTTGATTAGCCCCATATAAGCTAAACCTTTAATGCCCCAGGTCATGTCATTTCTTCAAATTATTGTTTAAACATATTCTATGCTCAAATTTAATATTAGAATATATTGACATTCCAACACTGAAAAGCAGTTGTTTCAGGTGAGCTACTCAGGGCCATCATGGCCCTCTTGGTTTGAAATTCTAGATGCAACACAGGTAAAGGTATAAACAGTCTGCAATCATAGCAATAGCCTGCTATTCCATGGCTCATAGAATTGATGTTAGGCTCGTAGAATTTTCCAAGTCATTTGCCTGACCGGCCTGTATTTCAAATTGAACAACTTATTTATACCCAGTCCAGGAAATAAATTTAAAAAGCAATTGAATGAATTATTATACATGACTTTAATTTTTCATGTCCCAAAAATAATCTTTTATTATTTGTTGTATTAAACAAAAGTTATTTTCAAGAGTTTATCCTTAGTACAAAAATCTGTGATTTTTAAAAAAATCTAATTTCAAAAGCTTCAAAGAATAATTTTTAGATACAAATGATATGTTTCCTTTGATATTGATACATTTACAGCAATATAAAAAGAGAAAAGTCATGTGACATACATGTATAATAAATTCCCTTATTTCAGGTGGCAGTGATTAATCTGGACCCAGCCAATGATATTTTACCATACAAAGCTGATATTGATATATCAGATCTG